TGGTATTAAATAGAACAAAAAAATACTAAAAGGAATAAGATAGTAAGTTGTTCCTCGACAGTCAGGACAAGGGCTGATCAAGTCATTGTTTCTCATAGTGTCCATTTCACTTCAACAGGTTTCCTTTTAGATGCTCAGTTAGTTGTCATCGATCAGGGAGAACATATGATATTTGTCCCTTTGGGACTGGCTCATTTCACTCAGCATGATGTTTTCCAGATTCCTTCATTTTGTTGCAAATGACAGATTTCATTTTTAACTGCTGTATAGTATTCTATAGAGTACATATCCCATAATTTCTTTATCCAGTCTTCTGTTGATGGGCATTTAGGTTTATTCCATGTGTTTCTATTTTGATGGCATCCAATTTTTCAATTTTCCCCACTTAATAACAAAATTGTACTGATGAGGTACAGCATGCTGCTTGGGTGACACATGCACAAGCTAATTAACCTGTCCATACATTGTCTCATGTACTTTGTGTGTGTCTGTCTTGTGGGAACATTTAAAATCTATTCCTGCAGTAGGTGTTGTGGCACAAGTTAAGCTGATGGGATTGAGTTCCACCTCCATTTTGATCCCATTTCCTGCTAATGTACACTGACCCCATTTCCTGCTAATGTACATCTGGTGATGGCCCAAGTACTTGGGTTTCTACCACCCATGTAGAAGACCTGGATGGAGTGTCCTGGAACCTGGCTCTGGATTGGCCCAGCCTGGCTGTTGTGAGAATTTGGGGAGTGATCCAACAGTTGGAGGCTCTCTCTCTTTCCTTGTCACTCTTTCAAATAAACTTAAAAAAATGATTCTTTCAGCAATTTTCAAGTATACAATTTATTGCTGTTAAGTGAAGTCACCATGGTATACAGAACTCCTGAATCCCTCTGTTTTCTTCTTATGTGGAAGGTGTCTTGAGAAATATGTTCCAGGGCTGGCACAGTGCTGTAGCAGGTAGGGCTGCCACCTGTAGCATCAACATCCCATAAGGGGAGTGGTTCGAGTCCTGGCTGCTCCACTTCCAATCCAGCTCCCTGCTAACATGCCTGGGAAAGCAGAAGAAGATGGCCCAAGTACCAGGGCCCCTTGCACTCATGTGGGAGACCTGAAAGAAGCTCCTGGCTCCTGTCTGGCCCAACCCTTGCCATTCTGGCCATTTGGAGAGTGAACCAGCAGATGGAAGACCAATCTCTAACTCTTTCTTTCCAATAAAATAAAAATCAAATTAAATTTAAAAAGAATAGAGAAATATTTGCCCACCCTGAGGCTGTGAAGGTCAAGTTTGTCTCTTGTAATTCCACTGTTTTCTGTTGAGGTCAGTCAGAGGGTTTTTTTTTTTTTTTTAAGATTTATTTATTTGAAAGGCAGAATTATATGGAGAAAGAAGGAGCAAAAAAGAGATCTTCCATCTGCTGGTTCATTCCCCAAATGGTCACAATGGTCAGGGCTGGGCCAGTGGAAGCCAGGAACCAGGAGCTTATTCCAGGTCTCCCTTACACGGGTGCTGCGATCCAAGAACTTGGGCCATTCTCTGAGGTGCATTAGCAGGGAGCTGGATTGGAAGTGGAGCAACCGGGACTTGAACCAGCGCCCATATGGGTTGCCAGCACTGCAGATCCAAGTTTAACCCTCTGTGCCACAGCACTGGTCCCCGTCAGGGGTTCTGAGTGAAGAACAGACATGACAAGACTCCTGTACCGGAAGCATCACTTTGCTGTGCTGAGATGGGGCTGTGGGGCAGCAGGTAGATTTGAGGTGACCACCACGATCTAGGTGTGCATGGACCAGGCTGGGCAGAGCGGAAGTGGTGGCAGAGGCTGAATTCTAGAAGGAGTCATCGGCGAGCTTTGGGCCATGCCCTTCATCAGAAGATGAATGGTGTCTGGCTTTAAGGAGTGCTGCTTCCTTTCTCTGAAGACTCCAGCACTTGTCATTTTTCCATAAGGCCAAGTGTGTGGACAGAGACTCCAGCAGTGTTTGCGACACATTTTAACCTATCCTCACTATTTCAAGTAAAGAGTTGGTTTTAAGTTTTAATCCACACACTGACATCTTCAGGCATGGCTGCCCTAAACACAAATGCCGACTCATCTGTCCGCCCGTGAGAGATCGAAAGAAAAGGAAACCGACATATTTCACGTCGCGCTCTGCGTCACTTCTGTTGGGACTCATAAATCCATGCCTCTCTGCTGTGGCCACTTCGTGTCTGACCCTTTCCTTAACTCATGATTTATTGCTGCTGCTCCTGTTGCCAGACTTATAAACTTCACTGTCCTTCATGACACCTCCTTTGTATACGAGGCTACGAGACAGCAAATTTATTGTCTATGAATTGGTACCTTGAAAAATTACATCAATGCAAAGTGATTGCCTTTGAGCCTCCATAGCCAATAAGTTTATTTTTTTGGAGGGGATGATATGAGGTCATAGGATGATATATATAATCGGTGATCACAGAACGGAAAGGAGCAAGTTGGAAGTCCAGTGCCACAGAGCCGAGAAGGAAGGTTTCTCTCTCTCCCATCATGTGTAAGCTGGCCTCCTGCTGTCTGCTTTTTATAGCACTCTTAAAGCCTGTCTCCGCTCTCCCCATCCTTGGCTCGGGGGAAGCGTCCTTTCAGCCCTCAGGTAAGATGATTTTCCTCTCTATGGTAAGCCTGAGACCCTCCCTGGTTTAGAGCAGTGTTAGAGATAAAGATGGGGTTCCTGCTTAAAGGAAACTTCTATCAGTAGCCCTGCTTATGAAAAGATCATTAGAGGATCCTCACTGCACATCTGAGACTTAGGGATGGGGACAGGTTCCCTCCCTAAAGTATGATCACGGGAGGACAGCTCTGCAATTCAAACTCTTTTTGGGGCCAAGCTATTTTTTCCAATTTTAAAAATGGACCTGAATTTAAAACCTCATTACTTTTAGTTCTTATTTCAAATGAGCTGGCTGAATGTAGAACTGGTTGTTTCCGTTATAGATTAATACTGTATTTATTTGATCTTATATTAAAAGTAATCACCTGACATGTGTTGTATGAAACAAAAATGTTCATTAAAAATGAAGTGGCATGTGGGAGTTAGGGACATTGTAGGCTTCCAAGTATTCTCATTTAGTTCAAGCCTAAGTTGGATTTTTAAAAATCTGTAAGTAGATACTTATTTTGCTATTACCTTTAATAGATGGAAAGACTGACTATATAAAATTTAACTGGATTTAATGTTGTCTTTAATTCTGGATACTTTTAGATTTTAAAAGAAAAACACCCTCTAAGCATTGGTTTTATCATTTCTCTGCTCTGAAAGTTTTTCCCAAGCATCTTTCTGATGACTCCTGAGCACTGTGATCATTCAAGCGCCGTCAGCCAACTGCTGGTCACAGAGCTCAAAAGCAGCCCCTAATGGCCAAAATGGCATGGACCTCACCAGCTCTTCTATTTAAAAAGGAACAGGGAAAATCATATGATGAAATCAGGGGTGCTCAGTTATTACTGTCACCCTCAACAATCTGCAGTTAGAATTTTTAAAACTTAGATGAAACGAGAGTAACATCTCAATCACATTCTAGACAGGCGGCAGCTGACCTTGGAATTTTATCATTTGTCTCTAAATAAATGATCCTTCATGACAAACATTTATATTGATAAAATTTTATAGATTTTTCAGTAACATTCTTGAAAAATGCAGGAATGTGCTCCAGTGTGCTATAATGCTGTATTGTCTCTAATCTCTGTGGGAGGTCAGTATGTGCACGCCTGCAGCTGGGGCTGTGTTGTGGCTTCCCAGCCCAGCTCCCAGGGCCTCCAACCCCAGCGCAGTAGCACCAGGAGAACTCACTGGACGCCATCTCCACTCACTGCGCCTCAGGCACCTATCACACCTCACACGCACCAACCTCTCCTCACACACACCTACTGGACTCCACTCGCGCCTACCACACCTCATGCACATCTACCTCACCTCACACGTGCCTACCTCACCTCACACGCGCCTACCTCACCTCACACACATCTACCACACCTCACACACATAACCTCACCTCACACGCATCTACCACACCTCACACACATCTACCTCATCTCACACACATAACCTCACCTCACACACTAACCTCACCTCATGAGTGCCTACCTCACCTCATACCCTAACCTCACCTCACACGCATCTACCACACCTCACACACTAACCTCACCTCATGAGTGCCTACCTCACCTCATACCCTAACCTCACCTCACACGCATCTACCACACCTCACACACTAACCTCACCTCACATGCACCTACCTCACCTCATACCCTAACCTCACCTCACACGCCTACCCTACCTCAGGTGTACCTACCACACCCCACTTACCCTGCCTTGGGCGCGCCTACCACACCTCACACATACTTCCCTCACTCCACACACTAACCTCACCTCACACACACCCACTGCACCTCCGCAGTGCCTACTGTACCTCACGGTCACTTACCACACTCTCCCCAACTTCCCATCACGTTGTATGCCACGTCGTTGCACCAGTTTCACACCAGAAACGCCAGCCAAGTTCCTTACGGATCATTTGGAAGCTGACCTCTTCCCAAGTGTAACAATTTTGACTGGGTCTGGAGGTCCGGTGAGATAACCTGTGCCCCAGCCCGTCTGCTTAACGGGAAACCCCACCATCTTTGCCTCCTCTTAGTCCAGCCTCCTCACCACACAGCCAGAAGCAGAAGGCGGCAGCAGCCGTGGGTAAACGGGGGGCAGGACGAGTCAGACTTCCTGAGCAGAAACTGGGTCTCAAGAAAGCAGGCTCAGCCCTCTCCTGCCCGCAGTGCCTGGGGGGCTGGGTCCTCCCCGGGCAGCAAGGAGTGGGTGGGCACTGCAGCCATGGCCCTGACATCTACTCTGACACACACCCGATCACAACCCCGCACCTGAGGGTGTTCCAGGCATGTTTCACTGCCCTGGGGACTCCCAAGAGATGCCTGAAGACAACCGGCTGAAGTGGAGACCCCCCCACCCCCCACCCCGTGTCTGTTCCTGCTCCACAGCTCGCAGCCGAGACACCAGGGAGCCTCTGGGGGCGCTGGAGCGCACTCCCGTCGTTCTGCAGCCGGGGCCGGAGATGCTGGGTGCCGGCCGCAGCGCCAGGCTGCGGGAAGCAGGTACGGTGCCTCTCCCGGTGGTCTCCTTGCTCACATCCTCAGGTGAGGTCACACCCAGCTTTGGAACACAGAGGGGGCGGCACGGAGCCAGCGCTGGGCCCTGGCAGCCTCCCCTGCTGGCCCGCGCGCGGCCCTCTGCCGCCTTCAGCTTCCCCTGCCCCGGGAGCTCCCGGCCAGTGCGAGGTTCTGCCCGGCACCTCAGCCTTTGCGCCTTCTGTGTGGCTTTCACTTAGTTTTTGTGGGTGCGAGGTCATTCTAGCGAGTGCAGTTTCGTAGGGAACAGCAATGGTAACAGGGCTACTGTGAGGCATCCGGGAAAGCGCACAGCGCCCGCTCAGTCACCCTGAGCCGACGCCCGTGGCCAGCGGGGCTGCTTCCCATCTGTGCCCTCGCAAGCGCTGCCACGCGTGCTCAGGTGCGCTGGCAACAGGACGGGCCTGTCCCACAGATACGAGTGCTTCTGTTGCGGTTTGGACAAACTGCTCATCTGCGAGGTCCCTGGGGGCAATGCCGAGTCCTGGGAGTTCCAGGCAAGAAGAGGGCCTGCCTGTCTGCATCCAAGCCAACATCACTGCAGCGTGGACAGGCAGAACCCCTTAGCCGCGTTCGCCGCGCCACGTTTGAAAACAAGCTGAGGCAGAAGTGGGAGAGCTGAGGCACTGGTTTCCAAACTGTTTTGCAGATCCTCAGACCGACATTTTCAACCCACGAGGAAATCTGAAGCAGGTGAGTGACTGCTTGTGGTGCTGGGTGTGCACTAAGGGGAACATGCCAGGCGTCCCCCAGGACCTACCATCTTGAGCCACGGCAATGTTCTGGGTGGAAGCCGCACCTGGAAACAATGGGCCAGTGTCGTTTCAAAGCGTTAATTTTCCAAATTTTGACTCCTATAAAATCTGGAAGCAACAAGAACGTATCCATTGCCAGTTTGGACGAGTTCTAACCGGTTGCAAGAGAAGAGAAACGCAGATGAGGGCCCGCTCTGAAGCACGTCGTCTGCTGTGTGGGCTCGTCCTCGTGGCGACAGTCAGCCCACAGCCAGGGGCCCTGGTGTCCTTGGAAGCCCGGGACACGGAATCTTGGGCACCTCCCCGATGTCCCCACTTCCCCGAACCCCGCGGCTTCCCCAGGAGGTTCCTGCGCACGTGGAGAGGGGAAGAGTGCTGCTGTGAGACGCCGAGGGGGAACCCGTGCAGAGGGAGAAGGGTTTCTAGGGAATTCTCTCGGGCGCGGTGGACACACTAACAGGGAATGACGGACTCTGGTGTGTCCTCACGGCCATCCTGTTGGCCACCCACTGCCGCCAGTGCCTCTGAGCATGTTTGGGCCTCCAGGATCGCAGCACAAAGGATTCTAATGAGCTCTAGTCAAGCACTTGCCAGACATTTCCAGGGACACCTTTTTGAGTGTGACACTCATTAACATTCTAGCAAAAATGCACCCCGCAAACATGAATACCCGGACACACAGGCTCAAGGAGGGGTCAGCCACTCGGCACAGGGAGCCCCACTGAACATGCAGCACTCTGGTCCCCGTGCCAGCCCAGAGCCGGCACCTGCTAAAGGTTGGACGTGCGTCTTGCTGAAGACTCGTAGGATTCCTAATTCACTGACAACTTATCCTGCCTTTTGTTTGGCTCACTCTCATTTCAGGCTTTCTCCGGACAAGGTCCAAACATTCTGCTGAGTCATCTTTTGGCCAGAACCAGGAAACAGTATAAGAAACGTGGGACTCCCTCCGAGTGCTTCTGGAAATACTGCGTCTGAAGGGACACGGCCATCTATTAGTTCAGAAACATCCAGCTCAGAACATTAAAAATATAAATGCTTGACTTGAAAACAGCGTGAGGAACAACTAGGCAAACCACACCCTGTTATTATTTGGAAAAATAAATCCTCTATGTTTTGCAAAGAACATGAGTGGTTATTCATAAACATTATCTTAAAACCTGTAATTTTTATTTCAATTCACCCTATGGAATTCTTTCAGAACTTAAAAGTGAAGCCAGGGGTATGAATTCAGCACGGTGTTAAGCTACTGCTTTGGAAGCCCACATCCCATATTGGAGTGTCTGGGTTTGAGTTCTGGTTCTGCTTCTGATGTCAGCTCCTCACTAATGTGTGCTCTGGGAAGCAGGTGTGGGCTCAAGTGCTTGAGGTCCTGCTACCCACATGGGAGGCCTGGACTGAGTTCCAGGCTCCTGGCTTTGGCATGGTCCAGGCCTGGCTCTTGCAGGCATTTGGGGAGTGAACCAGTAGATAAGAGATCTCTGTCTGCCTATCTCTGTTTCAAATTAAAAAAAATAAATAAATAAAACCAGTAAGTGAATGGAATAAAATACTAAGAAACTCCTAAAAACAAAATATAGTTAGAATCATTAAACTACAAATCACTTCAGTAAACTGTATTATCTTAGCTATTATGTTCTCTCTTAACACTTAAAGATGGTAACACAAGTTATTACTTTCCAAGCCTAGAAAAAGATCTGAATGAAGGCTGGCTGCAGGTGAAGGCTGAGGACGGCCACGAGCTCACTTGTCCAGCACTGAGTGCTTCAAACATGAGCCCTGAACACCAAGGCCTGCTTGATCCCAGCCCCTGTGAGCTCAGAATGTCTGCTCATGCGAGGGAAGACACCTGCACATCTCTTGTCATTTCTTTATTTTTAAAGATTTATTCGAAAAGCAGAGTTAGAAAGATCTTTCATTCACTGGCTTGCTCCCCAAATGGCTGCAACTGCCAGGGATTGGCCAGGCTGAAGCCAGGAGCCAGGAGCTTCATCTGGGCCTCCCATGTGGATAAAGGGGCCCAAGGACTTGGGCCATCTTCCACTGCTTTCCCACATGTATTGGTAGTGAGCTGAATGGAACTGGAGCAACTGGGACTCAAACTGGTGCCCATATGGTGCAGGCAGTGGTTTAACCTGACATACCACAGCGCCAGCCCTGGGTATTTCTTCCTAAAAACCACACATGTGTAAACACTAATTTATATTCTGCTAATACATCTACAGAAATATAGCTTCTGTCTGTACAGAAGATCTGTGAGCTCCCAGGAGTTCTGGGTGGCTCGGAGCTGGAAGCCCACACCCAGGAGAACTCTGGGTGGCTCGGAGCCCGGAGCCTGTGCTCCGTGCTGGGCCGTGCCCTTCCCAGAGGACGCGCCGAGGCGGCAGGTGCAGACGGGCAGCAAACAGTGCACGTGTCTCGGAGCACAGGTGTGAGGCGTTAGGAACACATCTGCAAGGAAACAGGTGTCCAAGCAGAGGAGCGGGCGCCTCGTTTCAGAAACACGAACTACAGCGAGGGCGGGGCTGGGGCCAGCTGTTTCTCGCTGAAGTTAAACTGGCACCGGTTCTCTGAAATAGAACTCCGATGCCCAAAACCACCTGGTACCAGAGTGACCGCAGGGTGGAGTCCCACTGTGGGAAACCCCCAAGTCTCTTACCTGCTCCACAGCCGACAGGCAGTTGTTTTGCAGATGGGGATCTGCAGTCAGAACGCTACGGTCAGACCCCGAACCCCACACTCAGTCCTCCCTGGCTGTGCCGACTCACTCCTCTGCCTTGGTCTCCTCCTCTGCAAGCCGAGGTCACCAACAACACTGACGACATCGGTGGCTGCGGGGGTTAAGCAAAACCATTCGCATGAAGCACTTAGTCCGCCACAGCGATGCACACTGGACCAATACCGAGCTGCTTTCCCCCTCTTGGTATCACTGCTGTCTTTGTGAAAGGTCTCAAGTGTGTAACACTACAAAAGCCCTCTGAGCTTCTGGATCTTGCTCTATAATTTCTGGATTTTATTTCCAGCGGTTGCACTGCCAGACTTTGTGAAGCAGCTGTGATCACCCTATATAAGTTATAAGAGTAATTTGGCATTATAAATGTTATAAATTTGGCATTAAGATTAGTAAGTATTAAAAATATGTGCATAGATTCAGGAGCCAATAAATTCTAACAAGCGAATGAATGTAACAAGTCCCACCTTCTGCATGGCAACAGCAAATGCAAAACACTGCTGAGAACTGAGAAGGGTCCTGCTAACCTGACGTGAGGGCCCTCACGGACCCTGATGAGCACTTCTAAGGGACACTCTGTGACGTCATTCACTTCCAAGTGACACCCTGACATCATTTGCTTCCATAGACAGGAAACAAATTCAGAGCAAACATTTGTTGATGCAGTACGAGGAAAATTTCAATTTACAACAATACTCATGTAAACGCTGAAACCTACAATAGACATTTTTATTATCAATTCCTATGGTCATGACTAGAGTGAATAAACTTGAACACTGAAGTTTAAGCTGGGCAAAGCCCCCTGGGGGGCAGCAGTCACCACTGCTGAGCCCATGGCCGCCTTCAGCAGCACAGCCAGCCTCCATGCTGACTCATCATGGGCCACGAAGAGGTCTGACAGGTTCCCGGCCTGCTTATGAAGGCACCAGTGTCGATCAAATGCGTACACCACACTTCATAAAAAGTATCTGAAGGCAGGAAACAGGCAAACTCAGATGCCATCTAGAAATAACGGGAGGAAGGTTCCTATTATTAGAGACCCAAGTTCCACAATATTCATCTGTGATTGCAGGATGACCCTGGCGGCTACATGTGCCATTTCTGATTTGCACAATTCCAAACCTTTGCTACTACAGAGGCTCACTGGTGGACAAGATGGAAACTGAATGACTGTTTAAATCTGATTTTTCACTATGGGGAAAGATACCATATGAGTTATCAACACACAAAGGCCTCAGAAAACGTTTAAACATCAGGGTGGCTAGAACATGAATGTCTTCAAGAAAAGGATATCTGCATGGAACTGCTCAGTGTTAGAAAACACCAAGAGATGTCAAAGCAGCATTTGAAAAGGATTTTGACACCGATTTCCACCCAGAAAACTACTTCAGAAAGGAACTCCAAGCTACAGGGATTTGGAGAAGTTAGGGTGTCTGGCAGTTGTCATGGATAAAAAGATCAATTCTAATCATTCTCAGATGCTTTATTTAACATGTCAAAGAAGAAATGTTTTCCTAAAACAGAAACAAAACAGCAAACAAAAATGTTAGTGGGCTGCAAGTTTAAAAAAAGGTTACTGTAACCTTCACTTCCTTGTGCCCCCTTTGCTCCTCCGCGTGGGTAGGGATTCCGCTGATCACTCACATCTGAGAGGAATCACGCAGCCTTCCCTATGAGCCGTGGTGAGTGAGCTGACTTAGCCCGTGAACAGTCACACACACGGCCTCGGAGTCACGGCTACGAGTGGCAGAGAGCAGGACAGGAGGCATCGCAGCACCCCCGCGCTAGCTGCTGGGCTCCCTAGAACGTTTTTCTCACGGCACAGTTCCCACAACACTTGTCCCTGCTCAGAGGCAAACAGGCTGGAGATGGAGAGAGCTCTTTCATGTGAATTGGATGGAAGGAAAGAGTAAACTGTTAGTTGTGGTGAGACTGAACATTTAAACATACGAACACATGGAAACAATATTAACTAACTTTTGAAATCATCATTTTTAAATATTTGTCAAATATTTGACCACGAGTATTTTTAAAATGAAAATGTTATAAAGCAAACACCATGGGCTGAGTGAGAAGCACTTGTGTGAACATTACAAATGAAAATGTGAACTTGAACTCTTCAAATAATAAGCTCAGGGTAAGCTGATCAATTTCTAATCCAAGACTCTCAGAATTTCAGTGTGAGGTGGAAAATCAACAGGAAAGGCATTTATAAGAATAAAGATAATGTCTACATAAATAAAGAACCACTAGAAAAAAAAAAGAATGAAGATTAAGTTCAACCCTAAAAATGAGGTATTTCTAGATCCACCAGTGGATACTGTGTTGTAAAGCGCTCTGACAAAACCACAAAGTTCTCTCTTAGTTATGGAACGGAGGTACCAGGCCACACGATGCCTGGCTGGATGTGTTACATTAACAGATATCATGATGAAAAGTCTGTGACCTCTAAGTGGGATTTCTTCAAGTACTCTAACAGAACAGTTCCATAACAGAGCAACACAACCGAGGCGAACGTCTGGGGCTCTATTTGGCCACACTTCTCATTACAGCTCACTTCGTGTGATGTCTAAAATGAGGTTTTGTCACACACTACCCCTTAGAGGCAATACAATTTCCTTCTTTCTTTTTTTTTTTTTTAAGACAGAGTTACAGAGAGAGGCAAAGAGAGAGAGAGAGATCTTCCATCCACTGGTTCACTCCCCAGATGGCCACAATGGCCAGAGCTGCGCTGATCCAAAACCAGGAGCTTATTCCAGGTCTCCCACATAGGTGCAGGGGCCCAAGCACTTGGGCCATCTCCCACTGCTTTCCCAGGCCATAGCAGAGAGCTGAATCGGAAGTGGAGCAGGCGGGACTAGAACTGGTGCCCATGTGGGATGCCGGCGCTTCAGGCCAGGGCTTTAACCCGCTGTGCCACAGCACAGGCCCCAATCCAATTTCTTTAGAAGATGGCTATACGAGAAGATTTAATACATCAGGAACAGAGAGAGGATTCTACAGACAACATGTGCTTCAGAAAAATGGTATTAACAGAATCAAAATGGGAAAGTACCTAACAGGGTACCCTCGTGGTGACTGAAGGGTCCACAGAGGGCTGCTCACCCTGCCTGTCTGGGAAAGGCCAAGCAGGGATCCCCACAGGTGCTCAGGCACTGTCTTCTGCCAGGTCCGGGCTGCAGGATTCTGCAGCATCATCGAGGAGCTCTCTGGTTTCCCCAGTGACACAGCTCTCCAAAAAGATCAAGGCAGGCAAGTGATCTGATGTTGGTGTCATCTGCAGTTTTAGAATCAACAGAAGGCTGGCCAAGCAACATACTTCTAACTCCCCAACTTATTCATGTCCTCAAATATCCAAATGCAGCTGGTTCTTTATTATTAGACGGTAAATGACAGAAATTATTTAAATACAGTCATGTGCCGCTTAACAGTGCACTCTGAGAAATGTGTCGCTAGGCAATTCCTCGCTGTGTGGATATCATAGAGTGACTCACACCAACGAGCCCGTACAGGCCTGTCACTCCACCTGGCCTCCCTGCGATCAACAGATGTGGTAGCCATGAGATGCAGGCGCTGCTGCCAGCCTGGCCATGCAACCGTTTCTCGGCAAGCCTTGCCGGAAGCAGCAGTGCACGCTTGAGCCCTGAGGAAAGCAAACGCACAGAACAGCACCACCGTGGTCTAGCCTCACAGCCAGCCATCACACAGTGCAGGCAGCGCGTACGCGTTCTGCTTTTCACAGCTGGCAGAGCAGGTGCACCACACGGGCGAGTGCTGCACTGCGCCACACCGTGACAGACGAGCTGTCCCCAGGTGGTGGGCATCTTTCAGCCCCACTGCAGCTCCAGGGGATCATGGGTGAACACAGGGTCTGCCGTTGGCTCACGTGTTACCTGGCACAGGTAAGTTGTTTTGGTGCACACTCTTCATATACCCTTCACACAACAAAGGCATGTAGATGGCCCAGCACCTGCTTTCTAGCGAGGTTCCAGACCAGTCTGACACTGCTCACTCTCTTCTTCAACACTGGGCGTCGGGAGGGGTTCTGCACAGACAGTGGAGCAGGAAGCATGGGAGCCTGTCTCCCTCTCCAGACAGCCATCGGCTCTGGAATCCGTCCGCTGTCACCGCCTGGGAGCTCTGGAGTCTGTGGGATGCCGGCATCGCCCAGGGGAGGCCTGGGTGGGCAGCTGCAGCGAGTGTGGGTCAACGTCAGCCCCAGACCAATTGCACTGCAAAGAATCAACCAGACCCAAAAGAAGACGGCAGCACAAGAAACAAGGGACAAAACGTTGTAAGGTGTACGCAGACAGCAAGTGACATAGGAGGCCCCTCCTCATCAGAAATTACTTTGAGGCAGAGACTGGCAGAGTAGGTTAAAAAAAACATGACCCTGCTCTGTGCTACCTGCAAGAGACTCACTTCAGATCTAGACAGAAATAGGTGGAAAGCGAAAGGGTGGAAACGGTGACAGAAGCAGAGCTGGGGTCCAGACAGAAGCTGGTCACGAAGTCACTGTGACTCCACTCACCCGAGGCGCCCAGCGTCATCGAACGTGTTCCGGCGGAGGCAGAACAGTGGTCACAGGGTTGAGGGGCAGGATGGGTTACAGCTCAGTGGCACCACCTGGGCTCGCAGATGAGCCGAGTGGAGAGCGAGTGGTGATGACGGCTGAGAAACCAACCGGATGTGCTGACCCCTCGGGGCCCCACACTTCCTGTGCACTGTGTGCATTTTCCCACAACCAAAAAAGTGTTACTCAGTTTTTAAAAGGGGTTGTGGTGGGGAGGCTTTAAGTGACTTTCATAAGCCTTAATCTCATACTTTCTTGGACGTCTAACTTTATTTTCTGTTAAAACTTTAACTTGACTCTTCACCCTCCCACATTTAAAAAATTTTTATTTGAGAGGCAGAGATGGGGGGGCAGGAGGAGAGAGAAAGAGCTCCTATCTGCTGGCTTACTCCCCACATGCCCAGGCTGGCCCAGGGCTGCAGGCAGGCTGAATCCCAGGTGTCCCACTTGCCTGTTAGGAACCACATCACTGGCTCCTCCAGTCTGCACTGGTGGGAAGCTGGAATCAGGAGCTAGAGCTGGGAATCGAACCCAGGTCCTGGCACTCGGCTAGATGCCTGCTTCTTTATTTTGATCCTTGTGGAAACGAAGAGCTCATCATGAGTACAGTCCTCATCACTATCACTCCGGCCGCCGCCACCACCAGTTGGCACCACTGGTTGTTCACAGATGATCTCACTGAGAAGCCCTCAGAACAGCAGAGCGGTCACACCAAAGTCCTGCCAGGTGTGAACACCAGGTGTCTCGGGTGTCAGTCTGCAGCTTTCATTCCTTCCAACATGTGCAGGTGCACCTCACCCCTCTGCTCCCTCATCAACCACGCATCACAGCAGGGCCTTTACTCTTCACCATCCCAGACTCAGAATCCAGAGAACCCCCAGGCTGCGACTGCTTGTTTACCATCTACAGACGCATCAACAAAGCAGGGACAGAATCACCCTGCAGAGGCCGTGGGGAGAATTGAGGCCTTCAGGGATCCGGCACAGATGCCTCGGTGCAGGCCAGCTGTCTCGTTCCTGATGGACATGTGGTTCTGACTCCAGGAGTGCACCTGGGCGAGCTCTTCCTTCTGCCCACGAGAAGACAGGGGCTGTTGCTGCCTCATGCGATCTAGTGCTATCTAGTCTTTTTTCAATACCACTACTGAGCCCTGAAAATAAACACACACACCTCAGGGGTCCTGAATGAGGCATCGGAGAGTAGCCCGGCTCATGACTGGCGATGTCCTCCCCATTGCTTGTTCACACGTGACGCACATGTTTAAAAAAGAACAATCACTTCTTTATCAGGCTGGTCAGGCAGAGCTCTGTCCTGCATGGGAAACCTGTTTCATGTTTCCGTGAAGCAACAGAGACGAACACACTTGCTGTAGCTCTTTCCCTTCAGAACGGGGGAAAGTCCACAGCCTGCAAAGGAAGCCTGGCACCAGCTTACTGGCTTGCCGCCTTGGACAGCACCGGCCTTGCCTGCTGGGCTCCCTGCATGCGCCCCATTCCTTAGTCGGGAGCTGAATACACGTGACTTCCACCACCATCCTGGACTGTACATCGTTGTCACTTGACTTCAAATGAATGAATTTGAAAATACAATTTTCTCACGGCATGTATAAAACATCAAGAAGTCATTCTGTACTAAAAACACATTAAGAAACCATAAACATAACACTGAGTGGGATGTCTAACGTGCGGTCTTACCTCTTGGGCACCTGGTGAGTTTGAGAACGGAGGTGGGAGTTTGTTCTGCACTCTCCAGTCGGACTTCTCAGCTGTCTTGAGCCATGATTCCTCCTGTGCACTCTGAGCTCGCTGCCCACCTGGGGAGACTCCCACAGAACGACTGCCACCAGCAAAGTCTCTGCTGTCACTGCTTCCTGCCGGAAACCACCAGCAACACCATCAGAACACATTGCAGAGACCCAACCTGGACGCCAGGATGCACCCTTCTCTCCTCACTCTGACTGCTATCGGGAAGCCCACCTTTTCACGCTAACACCCTGGTTTTCAAGAAAAAGCAGTGTATATATGCACATATTCAAGTGTCTACTATGAAGTGAATATGGCAAAATGATAAAAACTGTTACCATTAAAAATTAAAAAACAAATAATCCAAAAGAGAAAAAGTATTGAATTTAGGAAAAGAACAAGACCCTGGCAAGTGACGACAGTGCTGCTCACCACTGTCCAGGGAACTCTGGCCGCCCTGCAGGCAGCACTCAGCCTCAGTTTCCTCCTGGCTCCTCCCCCACGCCTCATCAGCTGTCCATCCTGAGACGACATCCCCTCCTTACCATCCCCCACAGCTGTTCCACCTCCCAAACCACCAACATCCCAACTTTGCTTTCTCATTTGCTTGCTCAACTGCTCCCTACAAATGTGCTCCACTGCTTTGATCTCTTTGGTTCCCTTGTTCTTCACCTTGGAGTCCACAGTTCATCTTTCAGTATCTCAGACTCGTGACACCGTGGGCATCTTTTCCCTTTTGACTCTTCACTGCTGTCGAAGCATCAGCTCAGGCAGAGCCAATCACTGACTTTCCAACAAGCCCAGGCAGCCAAACAGGAGGAGAAAGCCACACAGCACAGGTGCATGGTGCTCAACCACCATGAGCCTCAATGGGAACAGGAGCGCCAGGCTGGGCACCCTGCTGCAGGGCTCTTCCGCCTCCCCCAGCAGCTGTTCTCCACTCCCCCTTACCGCCCTCACTCTCACTCTTCTCCGAGGAAAAAGAACCAGCAGAAGGAAATGCACCACCTGCCCGATTCCAAGCATAAACGCCCCCCCCCAACCTTCCTCGGCCCCTCCTGGTGTGGCTGAGGAGCCCCTATCCCCAGGCCCACTACTGACAGTTTCCATGGAGCCCTAGGTCATCCCTTTCCTATCTTGCATTTCACCCTTCCAGATCCTTCTCATTGGCATTTGTTGTTGTTGTTATTTGTTTTTTTTTTAAAGACTTATTTATTTTTATTTATTTGAAAGACAGAGTTACATGGAGAGAGGTAGAGACAGAGAGAGAGGTCTTCCATCTGTTGGCTCACTCCCCAGATGGCCTCAACAGCCGGAGCTGCACCAATCCAAGCCAGGAGCCAGGAGCTTCTTTTGGGTCTCCCACATGGTGCAGAGACCCAAGCACATGGGTCAGTCATCTTCTACTGCTATCCCAGGCCACAGCAGAGAGCTGGACTGGAAGAGGAGCAGCCAGGACTAGAACCGGCACCCATATGGGATGCCGGCGCTTCAGGCCAGGGCTTTAACCCATTTTGCCACAGCGCTGGCCCCCTCATTGGCTTTGAGACAATTAACATGAAGCAAACAAAAATACTACCCTCTGTAAAAGGTAATTGACTAAAACAAAGCTAATAATAGGATTTTAGGATTTACAACACATGTTAAATGTATGACAAAAATAGCACAAAACAGAAGAGGGTGGAATGAAATACTCTGTTGTAAGGTTCTTCCATATAAAGCATTATAATGACTATAATATTGGCAGGTAAATTATGATGACCAAAAAATGTACATAGTAAATCTTAAAACAACAACAAAAACAACAAAAACAAAACAAAAAGGAGAAAATCCAGGAAAGCCAATTCTGGAGAGAAAATGGAATTAAAAAATACATAATTTACCCAAAAGGAAGAAAGGGAAGATGAAACACAGAACAGCAAGAGGAAGACTGAAGTCCAACACTGCAGTGTCGACACATCAAACGGAACGGTGCAAGGACTTGGACCATCTTCTAATGCTTTTCCAAACCATAGCAGAGAGTGGGATTGGAAGTGGAGCAGCTGAGACTCGAACCAGCACCCCTGTGGAATGCCGGCACTGTGGACAGTAGCTTTACCCGCTATGCCTGGCTGCTCCACTTGTGATCCAGTTCCTTGCTAGTGTGCCTGGGAAGGGAGCAGAAGATGGCCCAAGTACTTGGACCCCTGCTCCCATGAGGGAGACCTGGAGGAAGCTCCTGGCTTCAGATCGACCCAGCTCCAGCTGCTGAGTCCATTTGGGGAGTGAACCAGTGAATAGAAGATCTCTCTCTCTCTCACTTTGTAATCTCTCTGTAACTCTTCCTTTCAAATAAATAAGTAAATATTTTTTAAAAAAGTATATTGACCCTTACCTCACACCGTATACAAAAATTAACTCAAAACAGATCACAGATCTGGCTGAAAAAAGTTGAAGTTATTAAAACCCTCTGAAGAAAACACAGAAAACCATGTTAGTAGATTCTGGTTAGGCAAAGATTACTTAAAAAGGGCACAAAACCCCACAATCTACAAAAGCAAAACATTGGTAAGGTAAACAACATCAAAACAAATTTTTTTTCTCTTCTCAACGTACCACTAACAAAATGAAAGGGCAAGCCACATATGGAGAGGAAATTTTTGCAAAACAAATATCTGATAAAGGACTTGTATCCAGAATATATATAGACTTCTTAGTAGGAAAATGAAACACAATCAACTTTTTTAAATGGGCAAGAAATGTGAACAGATTATCACAAGGATGACGCACGGATGGTGACCAAGTCCATGGAAAGATGCTTAACGTCATCAGGGAACAGGCGAATGCAAATCAAACCCACAACGAGATGTCACTGCACACCCACTGGAATGGCTAAAATTAATGATGGACGAGGGCCAATGTTGGCTAGGGTATCCATGTGGCAACCTGGAGCTCACACAAAACTGAAAGGAATGCAAAATGGGATAGCCACTTGGAAAAGCACTTGGTAGTTTCTAAAAAACACTTCCCACATGACTTAGCAATTTCATTCCTAGGCACCGAGGGGATGGAAATATACATCCACAAAAAGACTTGGAGGTTCAGGGCAGTCGACTAATGATAGTGCAGGCTGCACAGACCGACAGCCATCAAGTGGTGAACCCCTACCTGTGCCTCTACTCAGCAGTACGGAAGGATCTCACCAGCACAGATGCACAGCACCTGATGTTCAAGTGACAGAAAGCACATCACGTGTTGCCAGAAGCCGGGGAATCAGGGCAGGGGCTCACTCTAGAGGGACACAGATGGACTTTTCAGGGCGATGGGAAATGTTCTATCTGGGGATTGTGCCAGGGGTTAGGTTATTGCACACCTATCTTACTGTAGTAAGAAACAGAAACCCTACTTCTACAACATACCTATTTATTGTTCATAAGAAGAAACACAAACCTTCCTCTACACAGCCAAAACCAGCCACAGAGCCCTTATCTAGTGACCGCCTGGCAGCAGAGTTTAATGTACTGTAATCCTGATGACTACCTGGTGGTGCAGCACCAGGCCACTCAGAGACGCCTCGAGGAGTGACACTGCGGACAGCTCACTGGGAGTAGAGTGCCTGGTCCTAGTCCCATGGTTGCCGGTAACACATTGCCAGAAAGCAAGGACCAGAGGAAAGGCACAAACATGATGTAATAATCTGACCAGCAGATCTTCAACTTTACCTTCAACAGAGTTAAGACTGACTGACCAAAGTGATCAGTTTAAGTTCATAATTGATCATAATGATAGGATTAAGTGTCAAAGGGATCACATAAACAAGATTAGTGTCTGCTAATAATAACTGATAAAATTAAAAAGGAGAGAACGACCCAACATGGGAAGCTGGATACACAGCAGACTCATAGAATGGAAGACACCCTAAATAGCACTCTGGCCTCAGAATCAGCCCTTGAGGTATTCGGATCTGGCTAAAAAGCCCAAGAGAGTTTTGCAGGCATGGAAAGCCAAGACACTGTGGTGAAAAAAAAAATATGACCTAAATGAAAGATCTCTGTGAGTGAGATCCCAGTGGAAAGAATGGGCCATCAAAGAAGGAGGTACCTTTCTCTGAAGGGAGGAGAGAACTTCCACTTTGACTATGGCCTTGTCTAAATAAAGTTGGAATCTGTGAACTCAAGAGGTTTCCAGAGCCTTGGTAGCTCATGACAAGAGCCTCTGGTGATTACTGACATCATAAATAAGAGTGTCAATTGTTAAATGAACAGGAGTCACTGTGTACTTACTCCCCATGTAGGATCTCTGTCCTTAATGTGTTGTACTATGCGAATTAATGGTCAAACTAGTACTCAAACAGTACTTATATATATAATTATACATATATATATATATAAGTATATACTTAGTGTGTCTGTGTGGGTGCAAACTGTTGAAATCTTTACTTAGTGTATACTAAATTGACCTTCTGTATATAAAGATAATTGAAAATGAATCTTGATGAAGAACAGGATGGGAGAGGGAGTGGGAGATGGGATGGTTGTGGGTGGGAGGGAGGTTATGGGGGTGGAAATCTGCTATAATCCAAAAGTTGTACTTTCAAAATTTATATTTATTAAATAAAAGTTAAAAAAAATAAAAAAAGACTGACAGATGTAAATGTGCAAATGACGGGCACAGCCTTCCCAGCCTCACCCAGAGACTGGGTCAGAGCGACTGTGCAGAACGCCAAAGGCACGGCTGTTTCCGGAGCACCTGCTATGCTCCAGGCACTGGAAGTGTGTGCTTTAATTGCCTTTTTGTCATTCAGCAAACAGATAATGGACATTTTACAGGTTCCAAGCAATGTTTGCAACACCAGGAATACGACAGTAAATAAAAAATTCCAGCTATCCTGGAGCTTAACTGTATGGAGAGAAGTACTATAAAGATATTCCATCATTTTCAAAAAAGACTTATTTGAAAGGTACAGTGAGAGAGAGGGGTAGGACAGAGATCTTCCATTGGCTGGAAGGCCACAACAGCCAGGGATGGGCCAGACAGAAACCAGGTGCCAGGAGCCACAACTGGGTCTCCCACACAGATGGCACAAGCACTTGGGCCATTTTCCACTGCTTTCCCAGGTGCGTTAGCAGGGAGCTGGATTGGAAGTGGAGCAGCTGGGACTCGAACTGGCCCTCCAGGATGAAATGCCAGTGTCACAGGTGGTTGCTTAACCCACTACACCACACCACTAGCCCCTACAGGTTTTATCATTTGATCCATTTTTCTAATAAGAAAAGAAAAAAAAAAGAAAAAGACAGTTAAATGACTTGCCTAAGCGAATCCAGGAGAGCAGTGCAGTGGCAGAGCTGGGGTTTTTTGCTCGCGGGATGCCACTCTGTTACACGTTTTCAGCAGGTGCACTAACACCATGCTTCCAGTCTTGATTCGGATCATCAGATTCCAAATTGTTTCAAGGAAAGGTCTACCCTTGAGGGGAGGACAGAGACAGACAAGTGTAAACACTGACACTCATCCTGATCTGTACCCAGTCAGCTCAGATTCTAGAGTTTAATCTCAGAATGCCTTTTCAGATGAAGGCATGAACGATTAAAAGAAACTGACCGGGGCCGGCGCCGGTGCTATGGCGCACTAGGTTAATCCTCTGCCTGTGGCGCCGGCATCCCATATGGGTGCCGGTTCTAGTGCCGGTTGCTCCTCTTCCAGTCCAGCTCTCTGCTGTGGTCCGGGAATGCAGTGGAGGATGGCCCAAGTGCTTGGGCCCTGCACCCGCATGGGAGACCGGGAGGAGGCACCTGGCTCCTGCCTTCGGATCGGCACAGCTCTGGCTGTTGCGGCCACTTGGGGGAGTGAACCAGCGGAGGGAAGACCTTTCTCTCTCTCTCTCTCTCACTGTCTGTAACTCTGCCTGTCAAATAAATAAAATATGTAAAAAAAAAAAAAAGAAAGAAAAAGAAACTGACCAAAATGGTTCACTTTTGAGAATGGGACGTGTTACTTGTGAAACTATAAACGGCCTCCTTTCTGAAGTGACAACAGGTGGCTCTGAGGTCCTCTACACTCACGTGTTGCCCTGCAGCTGTGCATGAAAAAGGATGGCTGGGGCCAGCGACACGGCACAGCAGGCTGAGCAGCTGCTGGCGACACCAGCATCCCACACGACGAGTCATGGCTGCTCCACTTCCAATCCACTTCCCTGATAATGCATTGGGGTAGGCTGTGGAAGATGGCAGTGCCATCCATGTGAGACCACCATAGTGTTCCAGGCTCCTGGCTTTGATGTGGCCCTCCCCTGGCCATAAGCCATGTGGGACGTGAAGCAGCAGATCAAAGATCCCCTCCTCTCTGTTTCTCCCTCTCTATAACCCTGCCTTTCGAATAAATGATTTTTTTTAAGAAAAACTATGATGGCTAAATTCTAATCTTGTCAGTACACCATCACCCCAGTTGTTAGAAAGAAAATATACTTTACAGCATTGAATGAATTAAGTTTAATACCTGGATATCAACGTTTAAAGGGCAGGGGGAACTCAGTTCACAAACAGGGCTTGAAATACAGCACTCTGGGAAAACCTCACCAACTGTCCGAGAAATGACACGGACACTCCTCCCTCCTGACTCGTAAATGCGGCTGTGCAGAGATGGCCTGTCCCCGGAGAACACAGCCTCTGCGGCCTCCACACTGATGCAGACGACCGCTCAGGGTCAGTGCTGAGACCATGCAAAAACCTTACTTTTATTAAAAAAAAGCCCCCCCTGAGAGGCAGAGAGGGAGAGAAAGAGCTTAAGTGTGCTTCCTTCTGCTGGTTCACTTCCCAATCCCAGAAGAGGCAGGGGCTGGGAACTCAGTCCAAGTCTCCCACGTGGGTGACAGGGACCGAAGCACCTGGGTCCTCACTGCCTTCCAGGGTCTGCTTCAGCAGAAGCTGCAGTCGGAGCCAGGACTGAGGGTGAACCCAGGCGCCACGATGTGGTGTCTTAACCGCTACAGCAAACATGTGCCCAGGAACCTGACTTAATCGCAGAGGCACTCACTCCCCACTTGTGTGTTCAGGGTCAGCATCACTCGTGTCCTCCGCTCCAGGCACGCGTTCCTTCTCACGTGACCTGCACATTCGGAGGGTCTGGGAACTCTTCCTGGACCTGATTCAGCTGCAAGGGGGAGCCGCTCCTCTCAGCGTGGCTCCACGTGTTCCTCCACTCCCCTTTCACTGAGGACCCAATATGGGCTGCGGGCCTGGGGCCATGGCTAACCCTGAGATCTCAGAAAGGCCTGTAGGGGGACACACGGGTGGCGGGGGAGGGGGGGGTGTCAGGCAGGAAAACGGTCATGAACGCATCCCAGCAGGGAGGGGGAGCAAGGAGAGGCAGAGGCAGCTGGGGCAGACATTCTAGGTGGCCCATTCTCTCGGAGGGGAACTCTGGGGTAAGATAAGGCTGGAGGAGGCGCAGGGAGGGGCAGCTGTGGAAGGGCCCAGGCCCTGCGTCCGCGAAGCCTTCCACTGCCGCCGCGGGAACACTCGTCTTCCTTAGCACCAGCGCCACCAGGTGGCCGGGGCAGCTTCTTACGCTTGTGCTTTCGCACCTGCTCTGCCTGGACGCACAACATCCCGAGAGGGTGAAAGAGGGCGCTGCATGGAGGAAGCTAACCCCTGACAGAGAAGGGTGCCTCTTACAGCTAAGTGCAGGCCCAGCAAAAGGAATGAACACCTGCCAACAGCAGCCACGTCCACTCCAGGAACAGCAAAAAGTGGTTCTAAAAAGATGAACAAAATTCTCGAAAGGGGCTGGCGCTGTGGCACAGAGGGTTAGTTTTTCAAATAAATAAATAAATAAATAACTATTTTAAAAAAAGAAAATTCTGGGGCCGGCGCTGTGGCACAGTAGGTAAAGCCACTGCCTGTGGTGCCGACATCCCATATGGGCGCCGGTTCAAGTCCTGGCTGCTCCACTTCCAATCCAGCTCTCTGCTATGGCCTGGGAAAGCAGTGGAAGATGGCCCAAGTGCTTGGGCCCCTGCACCCATGTGGGAGACTCGGAAGAAGCTCCTGGCTCCCGGCTTTGCATTGGCTCAGCTACGGCTGTGGCGGCTACTTGGGGAGTGAAACAGTGGATGGAAGACTTCTCTCTCTCTGCCTCTGCCCTTCTGTAGCTCTGCCTTTCAAATAAATAAATCTTTAAAAAGTTTTTTAAAAATTCTGCATAAAGTCCGGCGCCGTGGCTCACTAGGCTAATCCTCCGCCTTGCGGCGCCGGCACACCTGGTTCTAGTCCCGGTCTGGGCGCCGGATTCTGTCCCGGTTGCCCCTCTTCCAGGCCAGCTCTCTGCTGTGGCCAGGGAATGCAGTGGAGGATGGCTCAAGTGCTTGCGCCCTGCACCCCATGGGAGACCAGGAGAAGTACCTGGCTCCTGCCTTCGGATCAGCGTGGTGCGCCGGCTGCAGCGCGCCGGCTGCAGCGGCCATTGGAGGGTGAACCAATGGCAAAAGGAAGACCTTTCTCTCTGTCTCTCTCTCTCCCTGTCCACTCTGTCAAAAAAAAATTCTGCATAAAAATTATTATAAAGTAAACATTTCAGAATCTCTTAATCAGTTACTTATAAAGACCAGTGTCTCAGATCTAGCATCTAAAGAAAGATCCAAATAAATGGTTGATTCAAATTTAGTTCAGCATTTCACAATCTCTATTCACCCCTCATCTCCCAGGAATCACAATGCATTTGTAACAGACATACAGCAAGTGGAACATATTTCTTAAATAAACACAGCTACCTGCACACCGGAACACTGAACTCTGCTTCCTGCCTTCCTGCTGACGGCAGGAGCTGTATGGCACCACCAGGATCTTTTCCGGGAATCTGTCACATAATCCTGCTCTTCCTTCTGTATGTGGGCGGGCAGGACAGCCTTCATGAGCCCGCCACGTTTCCATTCTTCCAAGGCCAAAGCCATTGGCCGTGTTTCTAGGGGTGGGGGCTCCTAGGCCAGGGCAGCGGCCTCTGTAAAGAGTGGAAGACAAACTCAATTCTAATTCCTATCCATCACTTGTATTTATTTCTTTACCTGCCTTCCAATAATTCTTGCAAAGATTATTATAACTGTTCAAATTTTAAAAAACAGTGCCAGGGGCTGTTGCTGTGGCATACCAGGTAAGGCCACCACCTGCATTGCCTGCATCCCATATGGGCACCAATGCTAGACCCAGCTGCTCCACTTCCGATCCAGGTCTCTGCTATGGCCTGGGAAAGCAGAAGATGGACTAAGTCTTTGGATCCCTGCACCCACGTGGGAGACCTGGAAGAAGCTCTGGGCTTCTGGCTTTGGATCAGCACAGCTCTGGCCATAGCGGTCATCTGGGGAGTGAACCAGTGGCTAGAAGACCTCTCTCTCTCTGCTTCTGCCTCTCTGTAACTCTGCCTTTCAAATAAATAATAAAATCTTTTAAAAAAAGTGTCAGCTTAGCATAGGCTTTTAGTTTTCTGTCTTTATGTTTTAGTGAGTTGTACTAGTGCACATATATTCATTTATTTGAACCTTGCTTTCACTGGAAATCTTATCTCCCTGAATTCTTCAGAACATTTTTTGTGACTTTCACTTTAAAAATAGGTTATATATGTATGCATTTCAAACATCAACAAGTATTAAGTCACAGTTAGTAAGTGGTCCCCCTTCCCTGCCGACCACCTGCCAAGTCCCTGCTGCTTCCCCTAAACGCATGGCGTAGCTTCGTACACCCTCCCTCTGACCCTGTTTCTACCCAAACACCTACGTACCTTGGCCCGCCACACGCTGTTCCTTTAACTACATCCCCTGGAGGATGTTATTGATACATACAGTTATCTCGTGCTCTTGTATACTTCATATGAATCTTTTAAGACTTATGTATTTATTTGAAAGAGCTACAGAAAGTGGGAGACACACACAGAGAGTGAGCAATTTTGCATCCACTGGTTCACTTCCCAGATAGATTCAACAGCCAGTGTTGGGCCAGATCAAAGCCAGGAGCTGCATCTGAATCTCCTGCAGGGGTGGCAGGGGCCCATGCACTTGGGCCATGTTTGCTGCTTTTCCCAGGACATTAGCAGGGACCTGGATTGGAAGTGGAGCAACCAGAAAGGATGCCAGCATCACAGGCAACGCTACACCATGACGCCGGCCCCCACGGAGTCTAAGAAGCCCTGCTTTTGCTGCATCACAAATATTTTAGTGTGCTGCACCTTCATTGATTTTGAAATGTTTTCTAATTCCTTCTGTGATTTTTAAAATATTTTATTTATTTGAAAGAGAGGGGTAGAGACAGAGAGATGGGGGTCTTTCATCTACTGGTTCACTCTCCAGATGGCTACAATGGCTAGAGCTGAGCCAATCCAAAGCCAGGAGCCAGGAGCCAGGAGCTTCTTCTGGGTCTCCCATGCAGGTACAGGGGCTCAATGACTTGGGCTGTCTTTTACTGCTTTCTCAGGCTGTAGCAGGGAGCTGGATCAGAAGTGGAGCAGCCAGGACTTGAACTGGTGCCCATATGGGATGCTGGCACTGCAGGCCAAGGTTTTAACCCACTGTGCCGGCCCCTTTGTGATTTCTTAAGGATCACTGATTATTTACAAATGTTTTGATTTCTAAATGTTTGGGTTTATTATCTTAGTATCGATTTCTAATTTAATTTATTCTGACCAGAGAGTACAGTTTATATACCACCAACCCTTTTAAACTTCAGATTTTTAAATTTTTTTAAAAATTGTTTTTTACTTATTTGAGAGGCAGTTATAGAGAGAGGGAGAGATAGAGAAAGGTCTTCCATCCACTGGTTCACTCCCCAAATGGCCACAATAGCCAGAGTTGGCCCAATCCAAAGCCAGGAGCCAAGAGCTTCTTCTGGGTCTCCCACACTAGTGCAGGGGCCCAAACAACTTGGGCCATCTTCTGCTGCTTTCCCAGGCCATAAGCAGAGAGCTGTATCAGAAGAGGAACCGCTGGGATACAAACTAGCACCACAGGTGATGGCTTAGCCTACTGGCCACAGCACTGGCATTTATATTACAGTACACTATATCTCAGTGAACACACTGCCTGCACTTGGGAAACTCATATGATTTGCACTTACTGGGTGTCATATTTACCCAGGCATGAGTCACTGAGGTCGCAAGGGCTGTCACATCATGTTTTCCTACTCATTCTTTGTCTAGATGGTTTATCAACTGCAGAGAGAGGGGTGTTAAATTTTACAATCATCATTATAGGAAATCCATTTGTTTTCACTCTCATTTTTGCTTTTTTTAAATATTTATTTGAGAGGCAGAGTAAGGGGGGGGAGAGGTCTTCCATCTGTTGGATCACTCCCCAAATGGCTGCCAGGGGGGTCAATCCAAAGCCAGGAGCCAGGAGTCTCCTCTTGGTCTCTCATACAGGTCCAAGAACCCAAACACTTGGGCCATCCTCCACTGCTTTCCCAGGCCATCAGCAGAGAGCTGGATGAGAAGTGGAGCAGCTGGGACTTGAACCAGCACCCATATGGGATGCTGGTGCCACAGGTTCGCTTTCTTCCATTTGTTACTAGCAAATGCACACTTACGACTTGTGTCTTTGTGGTGCATTATTAGATGCACCTGCTGGGACTGTCACGAACCAAGTCCTTCAGCCTCCCAATGCTCACGGCTGCACTGTGTGCCTCTCCTGTCATCTACTCTCGACCCATGCATGAATTTCCACTGAAAAAGGACTTTGCAGAGCATATACATCTGGGTCTTGATTTTTGCCCGTTAAGAATTTTTGCCCTTTAAAGACAACGTTCAGTTCATTTTGTGTTCATTACTAATACAGTTGGACTGGAGCTGGCTTGGTAGCACAGCCAAAGTAAGCCACTGCCTGCAACATCAACATCCCATATTGAGTGCACTGGTTCGAGTCTCAGCTGCTCCACTTCTAATCCAGCTCCCTGCTTAGATGCCTGGTAATGCAGTACAGGATGGTCCAAGCGCTTGGGCCCCTGCCATTCATGTGGGAGACCCAGATGGAGTTCCCAGCTCCTGGCTTTAATTTGGCCCACCCTGGCCACTGCAGCCCCTGGGGTAGTGAACCTGCAGATGGAAGATCTTTCTGTCTCTCCATCTCTTTATATAACTCTGCCTTTCAAATAAATAAAAATCTTTTTAAAAACTGCAGTTGAATCTATAGCTAGTATTTTATTATTTGCTTGGTCTATTCCACTTCTTTAAAAAAAAGTATTGTGTTTCTGTTTATTTTTGGCAGAGCTCATACCTGTTGTTGTGGAGTTTCTTTATACATTCTGGTTATTAAATCTTAATCATTGCATAGTTTGAAAATAATTTCTTCCATCTGTCGGTTGCCTCTTCATTTTCCTGAGTGTTTTCTTCCACAGTACAGAAGCTTCTCAATTTGATATAGTCCCATTTGTGAATTCTGGCTTTGATTGCCTGTGCCAATGTCTTGCAGGGTTTCCCCAATGTTCTCTAGTAATTTGATGGTATCACGTCATAGATTCAGATCTTTAATCCATTTTGAATGGATTTTCGTGTAAGGTGTGAGGTAGGGATCCTGCTTCATGCTTCTGCATGTGGAGATCCAGTTTCCCAGCACCATTTGTCCTTGCTCCAGAGATGGGTTTTAGCTTCTTGGTCAAATATAAGTTGTAGATGTTTGGATTGATTTCTGGCATTTCTATTCTGTTCCATTGGTCTGTCCATCTGTGTGTGTGTGTGTGTGTGTGTGTTTACCAGTACCAGGCTGCTTTGATTATAACTGCCTTGTAGTATGTCTTGAAATCTGGTATTGGGGGGTGGGGGGCGTCTGGGGTCTTCCATGACTGAGCTGTCACGCTGCCCAGGTGCCCAACTTGCCGTAAAATGGTGGGTTTGCATTTGAGTTGCAACAATAAATTTGTTTTTCTAAAGACAAAAAAAAAAAAAAAAGAAATCTGGTATTGTGATGCCTCCTGCTTTGTTTTTGTTGCATAAGATTGTTTAGCTATTTGAGGTCTCTTATGCCTCCATATGAATTTCAGCACCATTTTTTCTAGATCTGAGAAGACTGTCTTTGGTATTTTGATTGGCATTGCATTGAATCTGTAAATTGCTTTCAGAAGAATGGACATTTTGATGATACTGATTCTTCCAATCCATGAACATTGAAGATTTTTTCATTTTTTTTATCTTCTTCTATAACATTTTGCAGTTATCATCGTAGAGATGTTTGATATCCTTGGTTAAATTTATTCCAAGGTATTTTTTTAGCTATTGTGAATGGGATTGATCTTAGAAGTTCTCTCTCAGCCATGGCATGGTCTGTGTATAGAAAGGTTGTTTCCTGTGTATTGATTTTATATCCTGCTACTTTACCAAATTCTTCTGTGAGTTCCAATGGTCTCTTAGTGGAGTCTTTTGCAGCCCCTACATATAGAATCATATCATCTGCAAATAGAGATAGTTTGACTTCTTCTTTCCCAATTTGAATCCCTTTGATTTTTTCTTGCCTGATGGCTCTGGCTAAAACTTCCAGGACTGAACTGAATAGCAATGGTGAGAGTGGGAATCCTTGTCTGGTTCTGGATCTCAGTGGGAATGCTTCCAACTTTTCCCCATTCAATAAGACACTGGCCGTGGGTCTGTCATAAATTGCCTTGAATGTGTTGAGGAATGTTCCTTCTGCTTAGTTTTTATCATGAAAAGGTGTTGTGTTTTATCAAATGCTTTCTCTGCATCCATTGGGATAATCACGGTTTTTGTTTTCAGTGTGTTAATGTGATGTATCACAGTGATTGATCTGTGACTGTTGAACCATCCCTCCATCCCATGTGGTAAATGGACAACTTCTTCAAAGGTCAGCAGCAGAGTGACTGATGCAGTCCCATCAACTGTTGCATTCATAATGGCCAACAATAACCTAACTGCTTTATGTGTATCAACTACAGTCACTGACCAATAACACAATAGGAAATACAGTCAAAACACACAGCCAATGTAAACATGGTGAAATTTCCAAAAGTAACTAACTAAATTAAAGAAAAGATATCTATAAAATTTAGAAGTTACAACTAAGCCAAAGGTATTAATGACTTGCTTTCACTGTGCTGTTTAAAACTGAGTCCATTTTCAAAGGTGAATGTGGCACCTGACTCTGGGGGTGGAGCATGAGCAGTGGCCTTGCTGTGACTGCATCAGCTCGCAGCCGACCCCAGGCTCAGCGCTGCCATGACAGGGTCTGCGCATCTCTTCCTTCAGCTGTGGACTGTCCATTGGTTGGTATTTCCAATTTCAGTATGTTTGGGGCCTGAGAAACAGCTGGTGAGAGAAGAGAAACTGAGAGTGAAAAGAAAAATTCCCACAGAAAATTCATGTTGAAGACCCAAAGCATTCACAGACATTTACAGCAACAAAAGGAAGCCTATAGGCCATGAGGAAGTAACATCTGGCCAGGACGTTGTGATTACGGAAAATGCAGGTGAGAGTTACTGGGGAACGTGAGCAGAGGACGGCTGAGGAGCACCCTCTCTGTCCAGCAGGGAAGGGCACCGCTGTGACCTCGCAGGACTCGGAGGCCAGCGGCCATGTCTCCCTCAGAGGACACTGTGCTTGCCTAGGACACACACTTCCTCTTCAGAGCAGGGACGCTGCAGCTCCTCGGGTATCTGCAACAGCTCAAGCAGGCCACACGTTCCTGCCTGGCCCCAGTGAGGCACTCCCCGCCTCTCTGCTGGCAGCCACTCCTGTGGGGGTGCGTGGGCTCTCTTCTTTGAGCAGGCCCTCCGTGACTATCCCAGCTGGAACCACCAATGCCACAGCCCTTTCTGGAATTTGCTCTGCCTGCTTCATGTGACTGAAACCTGGGAAGCTCAACTCTCCACTTCTCAACTAAACAAGGGCTCCTTCCGAGAGGAGATGCATCCGCCACAGTGTCCAGTAACTATGAACTCCATGTGGTAGGCACTCCATAAAAATCTACTGATTTACAGCAAAAAAAAAAAAAAAAAGCAGGGCAGAATGGCTATTAGAAATTATCGGAAGGCTCTACACTGATAATGTAAGCTTTTGGAAAAAGGTAACACTACATCAAAATTTGTGTCCCACACCTGGTAACACTCTCCCAGTTTATCCATGTCCCACGCCTGATGATGCTATCGATACAGTTTATCTGTGTCCCACACCCGATGATGCTATCAATACAGTTCATCTCCTGATAGGAGGGGCTGTGCTGTGCTCCCCTCATATCCTCATAGGACTCAGTATCGACATCTTTGTTTTTCAGTGTTTTGGGGGATGAAAAGGCCTTTTCCTCATCTGGAAGGGAATGAAAGGATGTGCCATGAAAAACCTTTGTGAGGAAGCAAAGAACAGGTACTTAGCAAAATTAATCATGCTACTTGATTCTACAAATAGAATGCTATGCAGCTCTTAAAAATGAGTCAGATCTAAACACGCTGATATGGCCGGCGCCGTGGCTTACTAGGCTAATCCTCCACCTTGCGGCGCCGGTACACCGGGTTCTAGTCCCGGTCGGGGCACCAGATTCTGTCCCAGTTGCCCCTCTTCCAGGCCAGCTCTCTGCTGTGGCCAGGGAGTGCAGTGGAGGATGGCCCAGGTGCTTGGGCCCTGCACCCCATGGGAGACCAGTATAAGTACCTGGCTCCTGCCATCGGATCAGCGCGGTGTGCTGGCCGCAGCGTGCTGGCTGCAGCGGCCATTGCAGGGTGAACCAACGGAAAAGGAAGACCTTTCTCTCTGTCTCTCTCTCTCTCTCACTGTCTACTCTGCCTGTCAAAAAATAAAAAAATAAACACGCTAATATGGAAAGATGCCTATCATACTTAATAACACGAGTGAAAGAAAGAGAACCCAGTACGCACAGCGTGATCTCATCGATGTTTCAGGGCAGAGATGATGGAGGTTATCCTCGAAATCCTGGTCAAATGACGGGCGACAGGGGGCTTTTCAATGTGCAGCTCATGCCGTGAGCATGACTCATCAATCCTGGTGTCACCAGGATGGGGAATGACTTAGCACTGTCCATCCTTTGAGTACATGGCTCCACCATGTGAAACCCATGTCCAAGAGAACTTTTTGTGATGATTGATAGGATTGCTTTTCATTTGTGCTGCCCAATGTGGTGGCCACCAACACCACAGGCAGCTACTGAGCCCTTGACATGTGGCCAGAGCAATTGAGAAACCAGCGTTTTGTTTTGTCTTTTAAAGACGGTGGTCACCATTGGCAGGAAATGGGAATCAAATGTGCACCACAGGATGCACTGAGTTTGAAACCTCTGCTTTGTCTCTCTCCTCTTTATTGGGGTGAGGCGGCCACTCCTCACAGAGTTTTTAAAAATTCATTCAATTATCCACTTGAAAGGCAGAATGAGTCTGGACCAGGATGAAGCCAGGAGTCAGGAACTCGATCCAGTTCTTCTACGGGATGGCAGGGATCCAAGCACTTGAGCCATCATCTTCCGCACCTCCTAGGCATGTTAGCAAGAAGCCAGATTGGACATGGAGGTGGGACTCTTGGCATTCCAAGCAGCAGCTTAACTTGCTGTGCCACAAAGTCCACCCCTAGTAAGTTTTTCAAAGTATTATTATTTTTAATTTGAGAGGCATAAGGCGTGTACACACGAGAGTGGGACTCCATCTGCTGGTTTACTCTCCAAATGCCTGTAACAGGGCTAGGCCAGGGTGAAGCTGGGAGCCAGGAACTCAACACAGGTCTCCCACAGGGGTGGCAGGGACCCAAATACTTGAGCCATCACCTGCTACTTTCCAAGGTGCACATTAGAAGGAAGTTGGAATTGGAAGCAGAGCCAGAACTCAAACCCAGGTACTCTGGAAGTCTGTCTTAACTGTTAGGAAAAACACCCAGCCCAGAACTGAGGTTTTTTTTTTAAGGCACCAACTTTTATTCACAGTCATAACTGCATCCTGAGCTGCCTTCATTCATATTTACAACCCCCTAGAGTTCCGTGTCCTGGATCATCCTTCACATTTCCTGGTTTTTGGCATCAGGTTCAAACACACCTCATACACACTGACCTCCTCTCCCGAAACCACTCCCAAAACGAAATAAATACTAGAGGAAACATTATAGATACTTGAAGGTTTGATCTTTGCTGAGGACAGAAGAGTCAGTGCCCTGTGAGGAAGGTTTACAGAGTAAAAAATTAACAAACTTTGAATTTCACTGGAAAAGCATCTTACCCCTGCTCAGGGACTACCAAGCACAGCTTAAAGGGATCATCATGCGGGCTGCTGTCTACGGGCCATCACTCACAGTCTTCTACCACCCAGCTGTCTTCTTCATGTCTGCTTGGGAGGAGAAGGGCTGTGGCTGGCCGGCGGGCGGGCTCTGACTCGGAGGCAGAGGCCAGGTTTCGGCTTGGGTGGTCTGAGTGAGTTCACCTGGCGTCTCCTCAGCCGACTGCCCTTCATTGAGCTGCACCTCGTCTCCACTCTCAGGGTCCAACATTCCATGCTCCCTGTTAGCCAGGGCTTCCATCTTCAACCTTCCAAAGTGTCGCTTCAGAGGAAGTCTTGCAGTATCTCGGACAAGAGAAGCCTGAGCTTGATTTCTCACTGGAATGGTTAGCAGAGCAGGGCGTGGCACCAGTGGGTCTGGAGGTGTAAAGCTGACATGCAGAAGGCAGAAAAAAGTGCTCTTGCTGCCAGGCAATTTCCCCGATACTTTTTATTTATTAGAAACCACCGGGGTTTGTGCAAGGGTCGAAAACCTGAACCTCCTCCTTGGCGATGCGCAAATCCCCGGGCTCTGCTGGCATGTATCACTCCTCTTCCCTGAGTAAAGAGCGCGTATTCCCATCACCACTGAGGATATCTGCAAAACTGAGAAATTCACTGGCTCTCACAGATCATCTACTTCCAGGAAGAAATCTACGTAGTTTTGGTGAAGATACAAATCAAACAACTCTCCTGGCATGTGTGACATTTCCACTACTTCCTCAGGGTGAACAAGTAATGGATCCCATTTACACTCTGATAAATGAGACGGCAACTGAGGTGAGACTGATTCTGTTGAAGGTGCTCTTTTACAATGTAGAATTTTCCCCAAAGCTCTGGAGAGAAAGAGAGAACCGTCTTTGCCACCAATAACTTGGGCCTCTTGACTTTCAAAAACCCCATCAGATTTTCTCCTTCGTCTTGATTTTGATAGCACAGCATCTGATTTTAACAACGCTCCTTTTTTCCTTGGTCATAAATTGTTCTCTCCTTTAGAAGAAGAACATTGGAGGCTGTTTATTGCACTACTGATACCACCATAACATCCTTGACAGAGTAACTCTAAAGAACCTCTATCGGGGACAACAATTTTTCTTCCATTTTTATTAGCTTCCATAGTCACTATTCGATTAAGAAACCAGCATAATTGTTGGTACTACAGGGTTAAAACTAATATTTGAGACAGAACATTCCTCTTGAATTTCTTTGGGAAACAGTAACCTATGATTATTATCGCCACTGATACTGTCAGAGATTACAGATACAAGAGGACATCGACCAATCTGCACATATTTCCTTAGAACTTCATGTAAATTAGGAGAATCTCGATAAAACTGGTTAGGTAAATCTTTACCAGAATTATCTTATTAGTTCTTAAGTCATCTTCAAGCACTTGTAGTTTGTTACACTTTGTTGCTCTCAATAGAAACTCTTTGAACACTGCCAACTGAGACTGATATGGAAGCAGAGGGAAGCTTGATTCAGGATTAAACATCCCTTTGAAATCATCTTTTTGGAAGCCTGATAAAACTGGATTAATCCACTCTTGTACATGAATAGCATGCTCCTTTGACAGTATTTTTATAGTGGTCGGCTTTCCACATCCAGGAGGACCTGTTTTGGTTGCCTTTCTAGAACTTGGGCTTTTAACCAGGTTTCAACTTCTTCAATTTTCTTTTTATGCACAGCAAGTCCATGCTGAGTTTCTGGTTTGTATTTGTCCACCCATGACTCATTTTCAGATAGATATTCCTTTGAATTTTCTAGACCATAAATCGGTTCTAAGGAAGACAGCTTTCCTTTTTTTCTAGCTGGAAATTTGCTACTTTCTAATGTAAAAAACATATTTTTTTCTTTTATGAGTTGAGTTATTCACACCTAACGATGTGGCAGTAATAGTGGAGATGCTTGTATTCTCCAAACAATCCTCGAATGATGGGTCTACCCAGTCTGTTACCTTTGCGGAAGACACCTTTGGTCTAAGAAAAGTGTTTGACATCATAAATCTCAACAGCTCCCATCCGCAGTGTACAATCTGTAGTACAACAAAGTATAATTCACTTTCCAGGAGCTGCATTCCCCTCGTGGGCGGAGAGGGGCCAAGGAGCGCAGGGTCGGCTCCTGGTGGAAGGGTAGCCACCCGGCCCTCCCTGGTCGGCACCGAGCCTCTTGGGGGTCCAGAACTGAGTTTTTTTTTTTTTTTTAATTTGACAGATAGAGTTAGTGAGAGAGAGAGACAGAGAGAAAGGTCTTCTTTCTGTTGGTTCACCCCCAAATGGCCACCACAGCTGGCATGCTGCGCCGATCCGAAGCCAGGAGCAAGGTGCTTCCTCCTGGTCGCCCATGCGGGTGCGGGGCCAAGTACCTGGACCATCCTCACTGCCTTCCTGGGCCACAGCAGAGAGCTGGTCTGGAAAAGGAGCAACTGGAACTAGAACCTGGCGCCCATATAGGATGCTGGCACCTCAGGCAGAGGATTAACAAAGTGAGCCACAGCACCGGCCCCAGAACTGAGTTTTTAATTGTACTTATTTGTATTTACCTTGAATTTACACTGGACAGCACAGGGACAGAGAAAACAAAAGGCCCCCAGGCTTGAGCTGTGAGGGAGTTAAACCTTCTTACAGAGGCAAAGAAGTTGCAAGGAGACTGCAAAACAGCAGCCAGAAAGGCAAGAAATACCCTGCGAAACACAGCAAGGCAGAGACTGTGTCAAGGGGACACGCTATCTAACTCTAACAGCAACACCGCTGACAGGCTTTGGAACAGGTATCAGCTGCTAATGTGGTTAGGCAAGGGCGGTGTTGGCTGGAAATGGCGGTATACAGCAGCCTGGTACTATCCCCGGTTTCAAGCATCTACCAGGGTCTTGATACGGGACAGAATGTTGCTGACAGTGCCACATCCAAGGCAGGTGACGAGAAACTGCACAGTGCAGGGGGCGTGGAGAGCAGCCACTGTGAGACCACAGAGTGGGGAAGGAAGCTAGGACACTGATGGGAGACCCGGGCCGGGGCACTGGGCAGGGGGTTGGCTGGCCTGATAATTAGGAAACATTTAGGAACTTCGGCTTTAAGACCTCCCAAGGAATCTTCTCTGACAGCACATGGGGTAATGACACAGAGTGGGAAAGCTATTTAGAGGAATCTGGTGGATTCAAGGGACCAAAATTTTAAAAATAAGTAAAAATAAAAACATCTTTTTAAAAAGCTGCTTCTTGGACGGCGCCGCGGCTCACTAGGCTAATCCTCCGCCTGCAGCGCCGGCACACCAGGTTCTAGTCCCGGTCGGGGTGCCAGATTCTGTCCCAGTTGCTCCTCTTCCAGTCCAGCTCTCTGCTATGGCCCGGGAGTGCAGTGGAGGATGGCCAAGTGCTTGGGCCCTGCACCCCATGGGAGACCAGGAGAAGCACCTGGCTCCTGCCTTCGGATCAGCACGGTGCACCGGCCGCAGTGCGCCAGTAGTGGCGGCCATTGGAGGGTGAACCAACAGCAAAGGAAGACCTTTCTGTCTCTGTCTCTCTCACTGTCCACTCTGCCTGTCAGAAAAAAAAAAAAAAGCTGCTTCTTGCCTCTTGTGCCCTTACATGAGACAGCAGGAGCAGTGAATGGTCGAGAGAGGAGAGTAAAGGGCAGGACTTGCAGTCTGGAGACCCTGTGGGCTCCGCATGGGCATCCCTCCTAACGTCCCCTGCTGGACAGCGTCAAGCAGACGTCAGGGTCTGAAGAGCTGGGGCCTTCAGGAAGTGACCACAGATGGGGGCAGAGCCCACGGGATGGCAACGGTGGCCCTGTGCCAGAGCTGCAGGGGACAAGCGGAGTGTGAGAACGGAGTCCCCCTGAAGGATGACATCCTGGAAGCCGGGTCAGGGCCCCTCCGGACACGGACCCTGCCAGCACCTGATCGTGGACAGAAAGAAGGTAAACTTCTGTTGTCTACGAGTCATGTGATCTCGTGTATTCTGCTAGAGCAGCTCGAGGTGACTAAGGCAGGCTCTCAGCGTGATCCCCTATGGGGACAGCATTTGTGTGTAAATCACATCCGTCCCGAAAACACAGCTGTCACTGCGGCTGCTGCTACCGGCCTTCGGAATGCAGTTTCTCCTCCACCGTGTAACAGAACCATTAACAACACTTTCATGATCTCCAGAATTATATTAACATTCAGGTAGAAAAATCAAGACAAAGACATCTAAATTAAAAAGTTAACCTGATGGGGCCTGCACTGTGGCGCAGCAGGATAATGCCCTGGCCTGCAGTGCCAGCATCCCATATGGGCACCAGTTCGAAACCCGGCTGCTCCACTTCCGATCCAGTTCTTTGCTCTGGCCTGGGAAAGCAGCAGCAGATGCCCCAAGTCCTTGGGCCCCTGCACCCAGGTGGGAGACCTGGAAGAAGCTTCTGGCTCCTGGCTTCGAATCAGCGCAGCTCCGGCCATTGCAGCCAATTGGGAATGAACCAATGGATGGAAGACTTCTCTCTCTCTCTGCCTCTCCTCTCTCTGTGTAACTCTGACTTTCAAATAAATAAATCTTTAAAAAAAAAGTTAACCTGGGGCTGGCATTGTGATACAGCAGGTTAAACTGCTGCCTATGGCACCAGCATCACATATGGGTGCCAGTTTGAATCCTGGCTGCTCTGCTTCCAATCTGGTTCTCCGTTAATAGCCTGGAAAAGCAGCAGCAGATGGCCAAAGTGCTTGGGCTCCTGCAACCACGTGGCAGACCAGGAAGAAGCTCCTGGCTCCTGGCTTCAGCCTGGCCCAGCCTTGGCCATTTGGGGAAGGAACCAGAGGATGGAAGATTCTGTCTGTCTGCCTGTCTCTTTCTCTCCGTATAACTCTGTCTTTCAAATAAACAATAAATAAATCTTCAAAAAATTCAATTGAATTTGATCTCTGTATTATAAATTTTCCTCTGCTATACAGGCAAGCAGGTTACCCTTTCAAAACAATACCCACTGCCACAGGGGAACCAGTCCTTGTGGAGTGCTCCTTCCTCACACCCGACAAAAGCACACGTGTATCGAAACAATGGCTAAAGCTTTTCATTCAATTTAGATCATAAAGACTCTCCATTTGGAATGTACTCCTGAAATGTATTCTAAAGTCAAGTCTTGGTTTATAGACAGCACAAACAGGGAGGCCAACCCCCGTGTCTGCTGGTATATAACGTGAATTCTCGTGTAGACACGAGCTGCAGCTACACTCTGGAACCACTGAGCTCCCGGGCAGTGTTTGCTGCTACCACTTCTTATGGAGTTGATCAATTTTACTACTATAGTAATATTACTACTGCCCTCTGGGAAGATAAAGGTGAAAACCAGCACCAGGGTCAAGGCTTTCTGCTCAGAGCTCACACCCATGACTGCCGGGGCTCTGGGCTGCGCTGCTGACTCACTACCACCACCACCAGGCGGCACCGTGCACATCTCTGTCACTGGCTGCGTGGACAGTTTGGTCGCGGACCGAACGGAGAGCTGCTGACCACGGTTCTGAATTTCCTTCACTCTGGAGCAGACCTGCTGCAGGTTCAGCTTAGGGAAGAGTAAAAGTAAGTCTCCAAAATTATACACGTGCACAGTAAGGATCAACAATGCATTTTTAACGTTGGTTCTACAGAGACAGGATGACCACACGCACAGTAACTGCTTCATCCAGTTTGCCCTTTGCCATGGCAGACGGGCATGGACGGAACACCCAGAACACCTGTTCATATCAGCTTGTTCTTAGAGAGCATATAACTAATCCAAATACCAACTTTCAAAGGTAGTACTTTTTGCTGACATTTTCCCCAACAAATATGGGTTAAAGGGGCCAGCGCTATGGCGCAGCAGGTTAACGCTCTGGCCTGAAGCGCCAGCATCCCATATGGGTGCCGGTTCTAGTCCTGGCTGCTCCTCTTCCAGTCCAGCTCTCTGCTGTGGCCTGGGAGAGCAGTAGAAGATGGCCCAAGTCCTTGGGCCCCTGCACCCACATGGGAGACCCAGAGGAGGTTCCTGGCTCCTGGCTTCGGATTGGCACAGCTCAGGCTGTTGCAACCAACTGGGGAGCGAACCAGAGGATGGAAGACCTCTTTCTCTGTCTCTACCTCTCTCTGTGTGTAATTCTGACTTTCAAATAAATAAATAAATCTTTAAAAAAGAAACATTGCATGCAGAATAAGTCAAGCAAATGAAAATTAATTCACAACCAAGTCCCACACGATGTGACAGTCTGTTCAGAGAATAACCCTATGTGTGGGGCTGGTGCTGTGGCGTAGTAGGTTAAGTCTCCACCTGCAGAGCCAGCATCTTGTATGGGCATCGGTTCATGTCCCAGCTGCTCATCTTCTGATCCAGCTCTCTGCTTATGGCCTAGGAAAGCAGTGGATGATGGCCCAAGTGTTGGGCCCTTGCACCTGCATGGGAGACCCAGAAGAAGCTCCTGGCTCCTGGCTTCAGATTGGTCCAGCTCTGGCCATTGTGGCCATTTGGGGAGTGAACAGCGGATGGAAGACCCCTCTCTCTCGCTCTCTCGCTCTCTCTCTCCCCCTCTCTGTCTGTAACTCTACCTCTCAAATAAAAATCTTTAATCAAAAACAAAGCCATGACAATAAATATCAATTGAAAGAATTTTTAAAAAGGAGTTACTCTATGCTTTTATAAAGCAAACCTCTGAATCCCAATATAGAAAACATGAATCCTGTTCACGTTGGGGAAGGGAGATCTGAAGAAACAGGCGGGATATTAACAGGTTTCCTAAGTTTCCAAGCAGGAATTCTCGCCTGTTTCTCCCCTCTGAGGTATTATAAATCTGAATCAGCGAAGAGCTAACCTCTTTGCTGCTAAAGTATCTTCAACCACTGCCAGTTTTCTATAACTGAGCAACCCACAGCAGGAATCTTTTTTTTTTTAACATTTATTTATTTGAAAGGCAGTTAGAGAGGCAGAGGCAGAGAGAGAGGTCTTCCCTCCACTGGTTCACTTCCCAGATGGCCACAATGGCCAGAACTAGGCCAATCTGAAGCCAGGAGCTTCTTCCAATCTCCCACGTGGGTGCAGGGGCCCAAGGACTTGGGCCATCTTCTACTGCTTTCCCAGGCCACAGCAGAGAGCTGGATCGGAAGTGGAGCAGCCAGGACCTGAACCGGCGCCCATACAGAATGCCAGCACTGCAGATGGTGCCTTTACCCACTACCCCATAGCACCGGCCCCAGTTTTTAATAACTGAGCAGCCCACGGCAGGAATCTTAGAGAGCCTAAGTTTGCCCAATTGCAGTTAACATTCACTGCTCCGTACCACTGACGCTGTCTAGTGAGGACGGCTCTGCACCCACCCACTCACGGCCAAAGTGAGGCTGACAGCATGCCTGTGGTCTCATGTACACTCCTGGACACAGGCACTGGCAGACAGGCCACAGAGAGGACAACAGAGGAGAGAAGGAACTGCCCTTCCCCACCCACGCAGGGGGTGCCTCACAAGCAGCATCCCCTCACCTGAACCAGCACCTCTCCCGGTGGCCCACCTGGCACTCGCGGAGGGACCGCAGTAGAGGTTCCTGGGCCCAGGCCTCTCACCCTGAGACCGTCCTGCCTCTCGGACCTTGGCAGAGCAGTGCCCAAAAGGAGGTGTGTGTTGTCAGACAGGTTGCGGGCCCGAGCCCCTGCCGCACGCCTGAAGGCAGGATTCTCCCCGCACAGAGAGGCAGGGACCCGAGAGCCCGTGGAGGTGTACCACCAGCAAGCGGCTGCAGAGACAGGCTGGGGAGCACGCGCCTGACCCCAGAGCCAGCGCCTCCTCCAGCCACTAGGCCAGCTCTCTGCTCCTCACAAGCGATGCCTGCAGCTCAAGGCAAAAATTATCACCAGAGAATCACAGGACGTTGCAGCATCACAGAAGTGGTCAGGAGTAAACCTCCCCCTGTGGAGACGGCATGGCCCCCGTGCCGTGAAACCACCCCGCAGCCCCGGCCCCAGGCAGGGGCCCCTCGGCGGCTACCAGTGCAGCACCAGGCACATCACATGCTGATGGTAAACTGCGCTGAATAACCACCCCACTTCACAACCTGCACCACGTGCACCCCACTGTTTCTCCTGTTACCTGTCCTTCCCTGCTTCCAACACCACACACGCTCCAGCTGGTACTTCTGTCCACAGGGTTCACTTCTGGGTCTCAAGCACTCAGCACACAGTGCTCGGTCCACGGCAGAAGCCCATGAACACATAAATGTGTACAAGACACTCACAACAGAAATGCTTCCCATATACTTTCAGAAGGATTTGGATTTGTTCTTCAACTCAAGTTGAGACTTACTGATTCCTAGTTGTGAAAATTTCCATCAAGATACAACTGTATTTCAAATCTGTAATTACAGAAATCAAACTCATTAGCCTGCGGGCAGCAGAGAGGTAGCCTTCACTAAAAATGGTGAAATGGAGAAGTATTAGGCTGTTTTGAAAGCAAACAGAACCAGGAAGAAACAAGAAAACTAGTTTTAGTCTCCAGTTTCAACTTCCTCCCTGAGTGATCCCTGGGAAAGTTTCTCTGGCATATCTGCTGATGTGTTATTATATTGGTCAATACATTTTTTTGGAATTACAAAAGATGGGATAACGTTTGACCCATTAGATATAAAACACAGCATAAATCATTATTTGTACCCATGATTACCATTAGGTTTAAAACACAGAAATGTCAACTGTGGAATGGGGAAAAAAGACAGGAAGGAAGCAAGAGCTACGTGTTGGCTCCATGTGGGCAGTAGGTCCATGGAGAAAGTTCCCCTTAGTTGGTTTTTTGCATTTTCTGCATTTTTTAAACAAAATTATTTACTTATTTACTTGAAAGGCAGAAATAAAGAGAAACAGAGAGAGATCTTTCATTCACTGGTCCACCCTCAAAACACCCACAGTAGCCAGGACTGGGTCAGGCTGGAGCCAGGAGCTGGAGCTCCAGCTGAGTCTCCCGGGGGGTGGAAGGGCCCAACCACTTGGGCCATCACTAATCCTCCCATTTGCTGGGAGCCGTATCTATCAGAAGTGGGGTAGCTGGGACTGAGCCCAGGTGCTTCCAGATGGAACATGGGCATCCCATGCGGCATTTAACCCCCTACACCACAAGAATCCCACTGCCCACACAGACTAAGGTTTCTGTTTTACTTCCTTTCAATTTTTTCTCCATTCTGCAGTTTATGTGTGTGTGTGTGTGTGTGTGTGTGTTTTACAGGTAGAGTGGACAGTGAGAGAGAGAGACAGAGAGAAAGGTCCTCCTTTGACGTTGGTTCACCCTCCAATGGCCGCCGTGGCCAGCGGCCCGGGCACACCGCGCTGATCTGAAGCCAGGAGCCAGGTGCTTCTCCTGGTCTCCCATGGGGTGCAGGGCCCAAGCACTTGGGCCATCCTCCACTGCACTCCCTGGCCACAGCAGAGAGCTGGCCTGGAAGAGGGGCAACCGGGACAGAATCCGGCGCCCCAACCGGGACTAGAACCTGGTGTGCCGGCACCACAAGGCGGAGGATTAGCCTATTGAGCCACGGCGCCGGCATGTTTATGTTTTAAACACAATTATAATCATGGGTACAAATAATTTTTTATGCTGTACTTTATGTCTAATGGGTCAAATATTGCCCCATGTTTTATAATCTCCCAAAAAAATGTTATTGACCGATATAATAGCACATCCACAAATATTCCAGAGCTCATCTCTGATGGGAATTTAAGGTACCTTAGGTATGATTTCTTTTAAGGCTCTTGATACAGACGTCAAACTATCTTCCAAAAGCACTGGGAAACATCTGCACTTTGCTCATTCAAGCGACAGTCAACGGTTAAGGAGCATCACGTAGTAAAAGCAGTTTTCACAGGAAGCGGTCAGACTTACGTTTGAGCCTTATGCTGACCGATGATGAAGGCAACCTTGTGGCTCCAGGGGTTCACAAAACTGCAGCAGCTGGAATCCAGGATGAGCGTCTCCATTTTGAGTATAAAATCTGGTGGGTGAATGTTCAAAGGGAGGACGGCCTGCAAACTCTAAGACTAGAGAGAATCACGAGAAAACATGCAATCTAGTTAACACAGACCTAGATTGCTGGTGTCCTTTTCAGACACTTGTAAGTTTTAAAAAAAGAAACAACTATTCAGCAGTTTAGATCCATAACTTATTTGGCTAAGAGAATGAAATAATGAACAAAAAGTGAGAAAAATTAAAGAAAACCTTCCTCCCACAAACACATGGGCCCTCGCCTGTCTGGTGCACAGCTAGCATCAGAGGCCGGTGCTCTGGGTGGTGTGCGAGGATCGGTGGCCCAGCAAAGGCACTGCTATGGGGACAGTCACAACACAGAAGCGTGGTATACTCACCAGGAATTAATATACTTCTTTACAGAATTTGAAATACAAAACATTTTACTCAAATGTGTCATCAGAGCATCTCTAAAGGCAACACACCGCCCCAGTGCCTGCACCAGGGGAAGAGGCTGAACAGGAGGAGTGGCGGTGGACCCGAAAGGCTGCACGCTGACCCTCCTGCCTTCTCCTCATCTGTGGTATGGCACACCACCGCCACCTAGATCCTCAAATTTAGTGGGTCAATAAAACTTTAAAATAAATGTGGAGGCAGCCGGCGCCGCAGCTCACTAGGCTAATCCTCCATCTGTGGCGCAGGCACACCGGGTTCTAGTCCCAGTCGGGGTGCCGGATTCTGTCCCGGTTGCCCCTCTTCCAATCCAGCTCTCTGCTGTGGCCAGGGAAGGCAGTGGAGGATGGCCCAAGTGCTTGGGCCCTGCACCCGCATGGGAGACCAGGAGAAGCACCTGGCTCCTGGCTTCAGATCAGCGCGGTGCGCAGGCCGTAGCGCGTAGGCCGTGGCGGCCATTGGAGGGTGAACCAACTGCAAAGGAGGACCTTTCTCTCTGTCTCTCTCTCTCACTGTCCACTCTGCCTGTCAAAAAAAAAAAAATGTGGAGGAAGAAATGGGGAACACGGATGTGGTGATAACATTTACCTTTTCCAAACAAAGATATTTGAAAAACAGCAGTAAGCTTTAACTATTCTCTACTTTGACGACCCCAAAACCAGAAAGGACATAAGTTCAAAATAAAAAGCAATCCTTTACACTAAATAAATTTAAGATTACCGAAGACAAAGCTGTCCTCCTGAGAAGTGCCTGCCCAGGGAGCATCCCGCAGCAGGTGCGGCAGGTGCTGGAGGACCCCCCTTTGCCCTGGGCTGAGCCCAGTCAGCTGCTACACAGGCTCTCTGCAAACTGACCCTGAGAGCCCGAAAGCACACTTCTGTGAAATCAAATACCATTTCAAATAGCTTTGGGAAGCATAATATGCAACATGCTACAAATCTAGACACACAAATAAATTTCAATGTAAATAATAAAAATCGGACAAATGGATAATCTTAGCTACACATGGACAAGTATGGGAACCTCTTCATATCTTTGTTTCTAAAACCAAATTTCTTTTAGGCTTGCAGAAGCACTGAGCTTTCATCTACTTCAAGAAAAATACACCCTGGGGTGTGTGTTGTGGTAAAAATTATTTTGTCCACTGGGATTTGAGGAGCCATGAAAAAGCAGAATGACCCATTTAAAGGCAAGTATCTAATTAATCATCCACTTAAAGCTAACTGTTTCACACACTTAGGGAATAAAACCTCTATGTGAAGTGACAGAAATCTCACCTAGGAGTCTGGCCTTCAAGCAGCTAAAGTGATAGTTAAGTGACTGGAATTTCATTATTAACTACATTTTAATTAGGTCAAAATGCAATGCCTCCTGAAGTCAATTTTAAACTGTGTTCACTGAAAAGCTAATTTTCTCATCAAAAAAAAGCAGTAACTAAAGAGTTTGGTCATATTTAGTGCTGTGTATAACTAAACAAACAGGACTTGAGATGTCAGTGCTGAATGGACTTTTTTTATTTTTGTAATGAGCCGGCATGATCAGTGCTATGCTAAGCTTACGCTTTGAACCAGCCTTCAGAGTGCGAGGCAATGAGCCGAGCATAATCTGCCCTGATATTCCATTTGCTTGTACGCGATTTCATCTGCAAGAAAACTGAAGTGAATACAGAACACAGCACGCAGCTGAAGGCAGCCACACACATCCCAAACACCCGCCTGCCTGCTGCTTCCGTTTACCCCATGCTGGGAGCCACACTGACGGCAGTGTGCACTTCCAAGTCCTTTATCATCTGTAAAATTGGGCTACCCCTTTTACAGGTTCCTGTCTTTCAATGTAAGATTAAGTTTTTGAGTGCTGTGTCCCCGAGCTCACCTTCGCCGTAAGCCCTGTGTTTCTGTCGGGCGATTCTGTGCAAGACAAGCTGTAGGAAAGTACGTCACACTGCATCAGAAGTGACTGCACCTCTCGGGAACACGAGGAAGCTGTCACGGCATCGGCACACGAGTTCAGGGATAGAAATCTTGTAGAAAAAGGGTCTAACAAGACTTCTCGCTCAGGGGGTTTCAAACCCTCCAAAAACAGAATTCATTCTTGTGGCCTCTGAGACAATTCCAGGGCCCTTATTTCACTCAAGACAGAAGCAAAAGTCCACAGGACATGCCACTCACGGAAAAAACGCCTCTCGGGCCACGTCGACCATGCGGCCATGCTGTCTGTGAAGGAGACTGACTGTGCAGGAAGTCAAGGCCAACACAGGACATGCATGAGAAGCAGCTGCAGCACCCGGCGCATCAGGGCCACACTGGAGACACCAGCTCCCTCTTCTGCTCGATGTGTGCAGTGAATGGGCCCGCTCGCATTTCTCTCTGACGGCGGACAACCCCATGTCAGGCCTAAAGCCAATGGCCTCGACCCACACGGGTAACCAGAGTGACACTTCTCAGCTACCCTCAGACAGCAGGGCTCCAATTCTAGTTGGGCAGAGCTAAGGATGTGGATGGAGTAGGGGCTGCCCCGGAACGGGGCCTGACTCTTCTCCTGACCTGGCCTGCACCTCCACTGCAGAGACCAGAGATGGTCAGCGGAGTGCTGCTGTGTGCCAGAAGCCCTGGTCAGACAGGCTGGGGAATCATCTCGCTGGTGACTTCCGGGAGAGGCATCCAAATCTAAGACATGCACACGTCAGATTAAGCGTCGCTCCTTACTCACCGGGCAACTGGCTCAGCTTCTCTCCTCATCCTTGAGCGCACTTTCCAGGCCTAAACAGTAAGGCCACCCTGGAGGTCCCCATCGGGCCCAGGGTCTGGAGGCAGAGCTCCAGCTGTGCTCCCGCCTGACCTCTCTGAGAGCGAACACCATGCTCACTCTTCCCCCCCCTTCACTCCAGCACGTGACAACTCCAGCCACGCGCTCTGCTGTTGTCCGTAACTCATGTCATACCCAAGTCTAATCCACTAATATGCTTTGTCCCTTTAAAAGGATCCAGAATGTCCAAACATTTCTACCTCCACGAGACACTGGGTCCAGACCTACCATACTTCACATGTCTCATTCCAATGGCTGACTGTTGCCCCTGCTCACCCTCTGATCCCTCTACAATAGGGGCGGCCAACACAGCCCCTTCCAAAAAACCAGTTTTCTTTCTACAAAAGGAGAATTTTCATCTCTGCCCACTGGAAACTCCCGGAAGACTGACAACCTCACAGCAGTAACTACGCTGACCAGCCAGCCTCGGTCTCCGAATACTAACACCGACTCCCACTACAGGAACCAGGGGCCCTCGGGGACACGGCGACCCCACATCTGGGATGAGGAACGTCTGAGACGAGGACACGTTCTGCCCGGGACTCAAGCCCTGGGGAACTCTCAGGAGAGCGCAGGCACAGACCGAAGGCACCGCTGCTGGCCACAGCCAGGACGATGAGTCTTACGAAGATGAACGAGAACTCTGTCTTCCACAGGGGCGCTGAGACAGCAGCGGAAGAGGTAACACGAGAGCTGCAGCTGGCTTCGGAGTAACCTGAGAGAGGGAAGCTGGGGAGCAGGTGACGGGACGGAGCTGGGTTAAAATTAGGAGAGCTGGGTGCTAAGGACATGTTGGATCATTGCACTATTTGCTGCACTTTCGTGTTATCAAGCTCCCAAAGTAAAACATTTTGAACATAAAGCAATGAACCTGAACAAACCTCTCACACAGGAGGCAAAGCTTATGGTCTGGTGTCTGCTTTCTCCTCCTCCCGTTTCCCACCACCCACACGGGCTGTCCTGTCCCTCCTCCAAGTCAGGCCCCCCCCACCACAGGGCCTGCAACACACTTCCTTAGATACCTGTGGGCTTGTTCTCTTACTTCCTTCAAATATCTGGTTCTCATGATTTATAAAATATTTATGATTTAAAAAATAAAAATTTTTAAAAATTTATTGTATTTGAAAGGCAGAGGCAGAGATCTTCTACCTACTGGTTCACTTCTCAAATGCCCCCGGCTGCTGGGGCTGGGCCAGGCTGAAGGCAGGAGTGGGGAACTCGATCCAGGTATCCCCGAGGGTGGCAAGGACCCAAGTACTTAAGCCACCATCTGCTGCCTCCCATGAACAGGGAGCTGGATTAGAGGTGAAGCTGAAACTTGAACCCAAACACTCTGATATAGGATGCGGGCGTCCAAACACCCTCTGGTCCCATTCGGCTTTTTAAGAGACAAGTTCCTCAATATCAAGATGTGATGATTTGAGCTGAAACCGAACAGCAACGTGCGGGAGGCGGGGGCAGCCGCTCAGGGCCTGTGCCAGGGTCACAGTGCTCCTCCCTCATGGACAGATGACGTCACTCTCATGAGAGCCGCGACAGAGCATCAGGCCTCCCCTGCCCTCCTCCCTCTGCAGGTGCCTGCTTGACCTTTGCCATGAGACACTCGCCAGAGGCTGAGCAGACGACAGCCCCATGCTCTGTGGACGTCCAGGGCCTGCTTTCCTTCAAGTTACCCGTCTCAGGTGCTCTGCCACAGCCAACAGAGAGCAGGTGAACAGCCCCAAACACAGCCGCAGAGTCTGCCCTGCCCAGCACCCCTTCCTCTGCTTTACCAACAAATGTACATGCACACATGCACACACACACACACACACACACACACACGCACGCTTGTGGATACCACCAGGCTCCTTCCCATAGAAGTTAAAGTCTATGAGGGCGGCCGGCGCTGCGGCTCACTAGGCTAATCCTCCGCCTGCAGCACTGGCACACCGGGTTCTAGTCCCAGTCGGGGTGCCGGATTCTGTCCCGGTTGCCCCTCTTCCAGGCCAGCTCTCTGCTGTGGCCCAGGAGTGCAGTGGAGGATGGCCCAAGTGCTTGGGCCCTGCACCCCATGGGAGACCAGGAGAAGCACCTGGCTTCTGCCTTCGGATTGGCGCGGTGTGCCAGCCACAGCGTGCCGGCTGTGGCGGCCATTGGAGGGTGAACCAACGTCAAAGGAGGACCTTTCTCTCTGTCTCTCTCTCACTGTCCACTCTGCCTGTCAAAAATAAATAAATTAATTAATTAAAAAAAAAGTCTATGAGTGTGGGGAGCAACTCGGACTAGACTAAGTTACTGGAATTAAGACTTATTCTATGCATCTGCTCTCCCACAATATGGCGCTGGGAGAGAAGTAAACAGCTTCCGCACAGCTGCCTCCAGTTCAACCAATAAACTGTAGGACCTGCTCCTGATTGGAGGAGAGCAGCGTACTCGGCGTGTGGGTAGCAGAGTTGGGATTGGTGGAAGAGGACTATAAAGGAGGAGAGAGACAACATGCACCAGGAACATCTAAGGGGAACATCTATCTGAAGGAACACCTGTGCGGCCCCCGAGAGAGCCGGCCGGCGGTGTGCCACTCCCCTGCGGAAGTGGGGAATGTGGCCAGGGGGAACTGCCCTTCCACGGAGGTGGAAGGGTCGGTAGCCAACCCGGGAAGAACCAGCAGCAAACCCGGGAAGGGCCGAGCAGACAAAAGAACAGCGCAGGGTCCTGTGTCATTCCTCCACGAAGACGGGGAGCGACATAGTGGTGCCGTGACTCGGATATGAAGCCTAGGCAGGATTCAGTGTCGTTCCTCCACGAAGACGGGGAGCGACATAATGGTGCCGTGACTCGGATATGAAGCCTAGGCAGGGTTCAGTGTCGCTCCTCCACGAAGAGGGGGAGTGACATAATGGTGCCGTGACTCGGATAGGAAACTTAGGAGGGAAGAAGAGGGAAGAAGTGGGAAAATACCAGAGAAGAGAGACTAGCAAAGAGCCTAGGGAAAAGCCGGAAGGAAAAGGTGCCGGAAGAAGCTATTGAAAGCCTAGGCATAGACTCGGATACGGACTGTGGGAAAGAAGTTAGGATTTAAAGTGAAAGCAAGAAGAAACTTAGACTCAGATACGGACTGCAGGTTGAAAGTGAAAGTGAAACCTAGAAGAAACTTAGACTCGGATACGGACTGTGGGGAGAAGCCAGGAGAAGTGAGAGGGGAATATTGTTGGAAGAAAAGTTAGGAAACATACCGGGTAGAGAAAAATGTTAGGGAGGATGAAGCCGCCGCGGGGCGAGGCGCCGAGAAGCAGCCTCGGGGCGGGTGCCGGGAAGCCGCGGAGATAAGAGAAACAGAAGTTTAGAAGTAAAATGAGAGAAATAGGAATGCTGGCAGATAGAAGTAAAATAGGAGAAATAGGAATGCCCGGAGATAAATAGAGAAAAATAAGGCCTCCCCACAACATGGCAATGAGAGGGCTTGGATTCGGTCTGCCTGATTAGTAAGACGATAAGTACCTGTGGGCGGCTGCAGGTCACCGAAGACAGGCACGAATTAACATCAATAAGTCTTCCCACAATACGGCAATGAGAAGGCTTGGATTCGGTTTGCCTGACTGGTAGGGCTTGTAAGCACCTGTGGGCGGCTGCAGGTCACCGAAGACAGGCACATTATCAACATAAGTCTCCCCACAATACCGCAATGAGAAGGCTTGGATTCGGTCTGCCTGATTAGTAAGGCGATAAGTACCTGTGGGCGGCTGCAGGTCACCGAAGACAGGCACGAATTAACATCAATAAGTCTTCCCACAATACGGCAATGAGAAGGCTTGGATTCGGTTTGCCTGACTGGTAGGGCTTGTAAGCACCTGTGGGCGGCTGCAGGTCACCGAAGACAGGCACATTATCAACATAAGTCTCCCCACAATACCGCAATGAGAAGGCTTGGATTCGGTCTGCCTGATTAGTAAGGCGATAAGCACCAGTAGGCAGCTCGACCAGCGTATGAGCTGCAGGTCACCGAAGATAGGCACGAATCAACACCAATAAGTCTCCCCACAATACGGCAATGAGAAGGCTCGGATTCGGTTTGCCTGATTGGTAGGGCTTGTAAGCACCTGCAGGCAGTTCTAGCAGAGCAGAGCATGCGCTGCAGGGCACCGAACACAGGCACGCATCAGCGCCTAAAAACCTCCTCACAACATGGCGAAGAGAGGACCCGGATTCGGTTTGCCTGATTGGTAGGGCTTGTAAGCACCTGTGGGCAACTCCAGCAAGCAGAGCAGAGTGTGTGCCGGGGGCACCGAAGACAGGCACGTATCAACGCCAAAAAATAAAAAGAAAGGGGGATCTGTGGGGAGCAACTCGGACTAGACTAAGTTACTGGAATTAAGACTTATTCTATGCATCTGCTCTCCCACAATATGGCGCTGAGAAGGGAGAAACAACTTCTACGTAGCTGCCTCTCGCCAATTTGATTGACTGAGCTGCAGGAGCTGATCTTGTTCTTGATTGGAGGAGAGCAGCATACTCGGCGTGTGGGTAGCAGAGTTGGGATTGGTGGAAGAGGACTATAAAGGAGGAGAGAGACAACATGCACCAGGAACATCTAAGGGGAACATCTATCTGAAGGAACACCTGTGCAGCCCCCGAGAGAGCCGGCCGGCGGTGTGCCGCTCCCCCACGGAAGTGGGGAATGTGGCCAGGGGGAACCGCCCTTCCACGGAGGTGGAAGGGTCGGTAGCCAACCCGGGAAGAACCAGCAGCAAACCCGGGAAGGGCCAAGCAGACAAAAGAACAGCGCAGGGTCCTGTGTCGTTCCTCTGCGAAGACGGGGAGCGACATATGAGGGCAACAGCTTTGTTTTGATTCCAGCACTCTAACAATGCCTGGCTCAGAAACCATGCCTAGCAACAGCTCGCTCGCTCGCTCTCTCTCTCTCTCTCACACACACACACACTCTTTCTATACGTCAGCCTTTGTCCCAAGGCCCTAACAAATGAGGACTCTGAACGGCCCCAGACCTGGCACAGGCCCTCCCACCAGCTTGGCTTCCCCAGCGGGGCAACATCAGCTCAAGTCTCCTCGACCATGGAGAACCCAACTCACCCACGACAAGGATTCCTCTCTTTTCCAAATATCTAGAGCACTAAGTAGTCTCAACACCAACAAGGATTTCACTTAGAAGTATTTTTTCGTTTTACTGTGGAAGTGACTACTACATTGCAGTAAAGTCAGAAGATGAAAAAACCATCTCTAGTGACTGAATCAGAAACCAGCCACTACTGAAATTGTGCTATCATCCCCTAGTTCACGCTCTCCAGACCTTTTCACCTCCCCCCCCCATAAATATCCTTCTTTAGAAACTTAAAAACCAATCATGTGACTGAAAAAGAGGAGCCCAAACAATGGTCATTTTATATCCCCAGCCCGGGACCTGGCCCTCAGGTTAAGAAGGATCTTTGTGGTTCCTTTTTCCTGTTCCATTATCTTTTTTGCTCTCCTCAAAGCACTGCACACTCCTTGTGGCAAGGACCATCTTGTGCTTCTGTATCCAAAACAGAACCAGCTGAATGCAAACAAGCACTAAAACACAAATTAATTAAGTAAAACAAATCAGAGCATAGCCCACCGTTTCCGGCCTGTCCGAGCCCCTGTGCATACCAGATCCTGCAGGAAAACAGTTTCCCGGGACACTGCTAAGACAAAGACAGACTGTCACTCACCACCCCACCCGCCTCTTGCCCAGTGAAACAATCCTGCACTGTTACCAACAAACCATCTTCTACTTTGCAAAGATTTATTTATTTATTTCAAAGGCAGAGAGAGACAGGGAGAGGGAGATATTCCATCGACTGGTTCATTCCCCAAATGGCCCCAACAGCTGGGTCTGGGCCAGGCAGAAGCCCGGAGCCCCAAACTCCATCCAGGTTTCCCATGTGGGTGGCAGGGGCCCAAGTGCTTGAGCCATCCTCTGCTGCCTCCCAGGTGCGTGAGCGGGGAGCCGGGTCACAAGCAGAGCAGACTTGAAGTGGCACTTGAACACGCACTCCAATACGGGGACACAGGCAGTACAAGCGGAGGCTTAATCCACCACATCACAACGCCTGTCTCTCTTAGGAGAGAGGTGGTACTGCTTAAGACAGGGCTCTTCTTCCTCCCTTTGAAATCTAGTGACATGCCTGCATTTGCTGAGGGCTTCTGTGTTCCCACGGGAAAGCTCAGGAGCGACAGTGAGAGCACCTGATCCATCCTCCCCGATTATATGCTGAGAATTTCTAATTCGCAAATCTGAAATCTGAGATGTTCCACAATGAAGCTTCGGATTCTGGATTCTGGATGCTCAACTGATGTATGTCCCCGCAGACTGCCCCGCCCCGCAAAGAACCCCTATGAAATCGGAACCATTCCCAGCGCCAAGCACTTGGACGAGGAACATTCAGTCAGGGTTTCCTGTGGTCCTGCCCATAGTTCCATAACTGCTCCTACTCATCCATTCCCAGTCTCCACGTGATGACCTCTACGGCCACTTCGGTGGGGACAGTCTATTCCATTCTAACGGCCTGGATGTTTCTCAAACACTGGGAACTGAGATGATTTCAGCTTCTCACTACATGATACACATCTTCGACCTCTTTGTCCATTTTACATTCTTGCCTGGGATAAATTTCCAAAAGTTGTGTTCCTAAATTAAGTAACGATCACGTCGAGTCTCCTCAGGTACCAACTTCCCAGTGCCATTACTAAGGCTTTCTCACGGCCCTCATGTCAACAGTTTGCATCAGTTTTACTGCTTTTTGTATTACTTTCATTGAGCAACGAGATGGCAACTCAGAAATCAATCTTCCTATCGCAGGGGTGAGGGAGCGGGCTGGGCCCCTCCCCGAGAGCTTGCTGACTGCATCTGCTCCACAGATCTCTCTCCTGCTGTGTCTGTGGGTGCTTGTGCACCAGGGTGTGAAGTCTTCAGCTACAGGAGCTTTCAAAAATGCACGCTGAAGACAGCTCAGGGAGAACCCTACAGAACCAAAACCCCGAGTAAGGCCAGGTCTTTGCACCTCTGAGGAAAGGCGCATGAAGAGTCAGGACTGGAACCCAAACTTGCTCACTCCACTCACACATCCCACAGGTGTGGGCACCAACTGTAGTCGCCAAAGGCCCAACACCGGGGCCAGACCACTCAGCGCAGACGCAGATGGGAGCCCAGCGTTCACGTCCTCGCCTCGCTGTGCGCAGGGAGTGCTTGCTTCCAGGGATCAGACCCTTCCAAGGGGTTTGCTCAACCAGTGTGAAGGGGAAATGTGTTCTAGCGCAGGGCCCCAGCCATAGGGCGCCCGGGCTCCAAGGGAGAGGCGGCAGCTGCAGCAGGTGTGCAGCTCAGGAACCTCGCCCTCGGGGAAGTCTGAATCTTCGAGAGCTGTCAGGCAGGAGTACCTTATGAGGGTAAAGTCCACGCACACCACATTGCTGCGGAGTAAGTGAACCACCAGGGCCCACAAGACACCAACTCTGGGGAACACCGAGCTTTCACAGGAAAGGCAAACACGGCAATAAATACTCAGCAAGGACAAGAAGCCGGAAAACACGCAGCAGAGCCTACAGAGGCGATATTAAAGGCCAAACACCAGGGCTGAACATGAAAGAGCCAGCGAACATGACTTACCACAGCCGCCTGTCCCCGTCACAGTCACGCCATGACTTACCACAGCCGCCTGTCCCCGTCACAGCCATCCCGGCACCTGCAACAGCTCCTGATGCTTAGTGATTGGCTGCGGAATAAACGTCTACAGGATGAATAAACTATTAATGAGACCAGAGAAACAGAGACGATTAAATGACGAAAACATGTGCTGAGGAAGGAGGAGAGAAATGCAATCACTATTTTTGAAAGGTGTGAGGGGCTGGAGCTGTGGCACAGCAGGTAAAGTCACCAGCAGCGCCGGCATCCCATGTGGGCGCCGGTTCGAGTCCCGGCTGCTCCACTTCTGATCCCGCTCCCTGCTGTGGCCTGGGACGGCAGTGGATGGCCCTAGTGCTGCGCTCAGGAGATGAGGGAGGTGTTCTGCAATGTGCGCCCCTGAATGTGACAGAAGGCAGGGCGCCGCGGCCACCGCACGCGCGGAAGATGCGTGGCCAAGGGCGGGAAGGAAAGAAAATGCCTTCCACCTCCAGCGGTGGCTACCGAAACCTTCAGCCTCCATCGAAAAGCCCGGCACCGAGAGGAAAGGCCGCGGGCGTCCCCACAGCGTGGGCATCCCCACAGCGTGGCGGAGGCGCGGGGCGAGGTCCGCGGGCGTCCCCACAGCGCGGCCGGAGGCGCCAAGGTCTCGCGGGCCGCAGGCGTCCCCACAGCGTGGGCATCCCCACAGCGTGGCGGAGGTGCAGGGCAAGGTCTCGTGGGCGTTCTCACAGCGTGGTGGAGGCGCGGGGCGAGGTCCACGGGTGTCCCCACCTGCTTGCCGGGAAGCGGTTCTGACGTCATGGCGGCCAGTTCTCGCGGTCACGACCGCGCGCTCCCGGGCCGCCTCAGGGGCCCCGTCTGGCCCGCGAATCCAGAAAAGCCCCGTGGGCTGAGACACGGACACACGTGGCCCGGCGGCCGCCTGGCTTCCGGAGGCCGGACTTCTCCCTCAGGACCACACAGACCCCTGCGTGACCTGCACAGGCCCGACGTCGCGTTGTGGTCAGTTCTGCTTACGCACATCCTCGGTGCGTCAGCGTCCGTCACATTGGACCCCGAGGACGCTGCCCAAGCAGGGCCTGACTGAACCTCCGCGCGCGTGCGGACGCGGCCCGGCCACGCCGATGTCAGCCCGGCTTCGGGGGCGTCACGGGCGCCGGGCGGCCGCGCCAAAGCCCGCCCTGCCTCTCGCTCCTAGAGCCCCGGACCTCGGCGACAGGGGCAGACGCTGCGGGCACTTGGGTGCCCCGGCTCCCCGCCCCGCACCACTCCCAGCATCGCGGGCGGCTCTGCTGCCCCGCATGTCCCAGCCTGCTTCTCCACTCGCGGGGCCCTGGCCTACGGGGAGACGGCCGCTCGAGGCCGGACTGTCCCACGCTCCGTGCTAGAAGGTGGGCGTACGCCGAGAACTGGGGCCGGTGAGGCCAGCTCAGGGGGCACCAGCGCGGAGGGGACGCCCCAGCACGCACCGGCGCCTCCGCCCGCGGCCAGCGCAGTCCCCGGCCCGCCGCGCGCGGGGAAGTTGCTGGCGCCGCGCCCCCCGCGCACCCCGCGCCCCGGCCGCGCGATTGGCCGCCGCCTCCGGCTCCGCGAGATCCCATTGGTCCGGGGGCGGGGCCCGAGCCGGAGCACCCGGGCTACGTAACCGCAGGCGAGTGGGCGGCGACGAAGACCCCAGAGCGTTCCGTGACGGAGGCCGGCTCGCGGCCAATCCTCGGCTGATCCCGGCGGGCCCGGGGCGTGGGCGGGAACGGCGTGACCGCGAGAAGATTCGGCCCGGCGCGGGGGGCGGGGCCGCTGGGCCAGCGAGGCAGTCGTAGGGCTCCGGAGCTGTCCGTCACCAGGTGGGCGGGGCCGGCGCGGCCTGCACGTGAGGCGGGCGAGGGAGAGGGCGAAGGGGCGTGGCGCCCGGGGGGAGGGGCCTGGGTCTCGCAGGGCTGTGGCCCTCGGTGCTGGCCTGGACCTGCAGGGAACCTGGCTGGGTGGACGCAGCCTTATCAAACCCAATCCATTTTCAGGAACTTAACCCTCTAAGTGCCAGGTTTTCAATTCTGTGAACATGCCAACATTCATTTCAAAGTTACCATAGGTGGTATATTTATTAAGTTTTTTTTTTAAAGCTGTCCTATATGTAGGACGATGGGACTTAAAACACGTTGAGGGTCTTCCTAAGGATTTATTTCGCAACTGGGGACAGACAGGTGCAGCAAACACGCCAGCGACACGTGATTCAGGGAAGGCAGGTGGGAGCCCCTTAATGAGTCAAAGCTCCTGGTAGGTTGCATCTCGGCTCACCCTGTTAGGGAGATCATCGTGGGGTAATTCGCCCGAGAAAGAATTCAGGCCTGAGACAGCAGTGCTAAGCAAGGCCTGCTGGGGTAGGGCATCGTCAGAACGGAAGGGGCAGGCTCAGCGTGTGTCCACTCAGACCGGGGAAAGCAAGGTTACATGGTTGAATGGAGAGGCCACACCTGGCAGGCCGGGGCGGCTCAGCAGAGCTGTCAGACCGGGGCCTCAAAGGGAAAGGAGCCCCAGGTCCCCCTCCCCCAGGACAGAGGGTTCGCTGCGGCTGCACGAGGCACAGTCCCTGCCACGGCTTTACTGCTCAGCGCTGTCACCTGGCACGGGGCAGGGCCCTTCCCTTGCGGTGCCTGCTGGGAAGGTTCTGTTCTCCTGTTACCGGACCAGGTGACCCATCTGGTGCTGAGGAGAGAGCACTGTCCAGCTGAGCTCCCCTTGGGGGAGGGGCTGAGACCACCCGGAAAGTGACCAGGGTCTGGGCAGGACACCTGTGACCCTAGGCTGCAGATGCTGGTTTCATTTCCCAGCGTCCGGCGCGGGGGCCAGCCCTCTGCTGGGCGAATGAACGCTTACCAGGGAAGTGGAGTGCGTGCCTTCCTATGACGTGTTGGGTCAGCACCTTATTTTGCTAAGTGACTCTCCAAGGCATCCATCTGACAAATGCTTACTGGGCCTGTATTTGGGTGCGGATGACTGTGGTCCCGGAGCAGAGAATGGACAGAGCCCCTGCTCCTGGGGGGGAGGGGTCAGCATTTTATGAGAAAGACGTAACATACAACTGACTCCATAAAGTAAGTCCAGAAGGTGTGAACACGTGGGCACAAGCTCATGGAGCAGCGGTGGAGGGTGACAAGTGACGGGGCCGGCTTCTGAGGAGAGGAGACTGGAACCCAACGAGCAAGGAGCCGGCCCAGCGGGCATGCACCAGCTCCTGGAGGCCATGCCCCACAGCAGTGCTGCCGCGAGGGAGTGGCAGCTTCCTGTCTGGCGCTCAGAGCACCAGGTGAAACGAGGGCACAAAGTTCAAGGGGCCCAGAGCAGTTCTAAATACCAGCAGCCAACGCCACCCACCCGCTCTAGCTCCCAAGGCTGTGGAAACCAATTCAAGGGAGCACATCCACAGATCCAGAGATCAGCAGTCCTGTGTCCGGACGTCCCTCAGCTGTCCACACTTGGCTATCCCGTGTGGACAGCGGGCCGGTCTGCCCTTGGCAGCACCAGCTCGTACCCCACTTTTGAAGGACCATATATTTAAGATACTCAGAAGCCAAATCCTGAACACACTTTGGTCATCTGTGAAAGCCAGTGCCCACTCATCTCCTGTGCTCAGGAGTACTTTCATGAGGGGAGTCGTTCGCTTCCAGATACTCAGCTAGGAGCAACCCGAGTCCTACAGCTGGTGGGGACTGAGAGTGTAGAGGCCAAGGGAAGATAGGAGGAGGGCAAGAGCCATTTTCATGACTTGGACAAGGCGCGCTGTCCCTCTCCAAGCAACACAGGGGCCAGAACCATGTTTATAAACTTTATTCAGAGAATTACAGTGGGCAAGTTCCCAGCTAAATGCAGAGAGGAGTGAGGTATTCCTGGGTTAATGCAGGAGCCAGTGGGTTACACGGGACTGGGCAGAGAGCACCGAGGTTTGAGCCAGACATGGCCAGAAGCCCCACGTGGAGGCTGGGCTGGCGCCCTGACCCTGACACCGGGGGGACAGCACCGAGGTCTGAGCCCCCACGCGGAGGCTGGGCTGGCGCCCTGACCCTCACAGCTGCTTGTTTCTTGGCATCATTGCAGTGATGTCGGGGCAACCTGAGCCGTGGCTGCTCTGTAAGGCCCAAGAATGGGAGGACATTCTGGTGGCAGGCCAGGGTGACAAGGCCCCCGTCTCCCCCTCAGTGCCTCCTCCCCTCTTTCGGCCACATGCCCTCGCGCTGAGTCTCAGGACACAGCCGGCTCTCGGGTGGCAGCAGTTTCCCCCAAGGCAGCATCCTGCGCTATGACACTGAAGAAACAGAGTGGCTCTGGTGGGCTCTGCTGGTGCCAAGGGCCCTCCACCCGTGCACCGCCCGTGTGCAAGCACACCTCCCAGGACGGCTGTAGGATGTGGAATACGAGTGCACGTGGCACACGAACTCCCACAGCTGTCATCTAGGAGCTCAATGCACAGATGGCCTTGAAGGCCACAAACTGCTGCCCACGTACTCACTAGAAACACATGAGTCCACGCTGACAGCTGTCGCTAGCACGACAGAGTCAAGCTCAACCCTTCGACCCGGGGGGAGGTGGAGTCAGAGGGGAGCGCACATGTGTGCATTCCAAGGCAGGACAGCTGGCCAGGCTGCAGGAGGCTCGCACACCGAGTGACCACTGTAGTTCTAAAGGGCACTGTACGGGCCACTTGGCACTTTCCTGAATTTGCCTGTCAGGAACAGACTTAAGGCAATTTTATTCATTTTTAACATTTTGGCAAAATAAACTTTGGTCTTAGCGATAGCACTAAAAAAGCTTTGTTAAATGGCTATTACTCTGACTGGTAACTGTAGCAAGTGGCACTTAACAGTAACAAGGAAATATCTTCACGCCTCAGGAAGAGCCAAGCTCTTAGCATCTTCTTTAAACACAGCAGAAGAGTCAGTCTTGCTTACAAAAAGTAGAGGTTTCTTACAGGCAATCAGAAAAATACCAAAGTAAGGCACAGCCTGTTACCATCACAGGTTTGTGTTAGGCAGTAGTGTTCTTTCTGAAGGTACAAACTGGAAATGTGATTACTCAAAGTCGAAAAGGCAGACCTAAGGATAGTGCCATATGTCAGGGATAGCCAACTTCAAACGAGTTCCCTTCGTGAGAGTCAGGGGCCGTGAATAAGTGACAAAGGTGGGTCTAGAGGAGTAGCCTCTGGGGCTTGGGAGGTCTTTATCAGCCTAGACCTGTGAGGCCGCAATGTAAAATGCAGGTGGGCTGGCCCACTTCTAGCTTGGAGTGCGTATTAGAGACCAAAGGCACATTTCCTAGAAATCGAACTTTACACGAACAAAAAATAATCATTTTAGATAAAAACAGTAGGGAGGCTTCATAATACAGCAAGTTCTAAGTCCAAAGGCTTGAAGAGTTCTCCTGAAGAGCGGCTTCGGGCTCGCCGGCCCTTCAGGAACCGACGATCCACACTGTGGAGCGGGGAGAGTCACAAACAGGGGAGACGCAGTTTAGTCTTTTGTGCGAGCCCAGAATACGCAGCGAACGCTGCAGCCTAATGTGCACAGCAAGGCACGTGGCTGATTTTCTCCTAACAGCTTCTCTCATTCTACAGAGAGCACGGGAGTCCTGATCAGGAGACAGGCACTTTGATAACAACAGTAACGGGGTGTGTGTTTTTATATAGCAGATCCGCTTATAAATGATTATATCGGGGTGCTGCTGCGGTGCAGCATGCTAAGCCACCTGCAATGCTGGCATCCCACCTAAGTGCCCGTTCAGGTCCGTCCCAGATGCCCCATTTCTGTTCCAGCTCCCTGCTAATGTGCCTGGGTAGCAGCGGAAGATGGCCCAGGTCCATGGGCCCCTGCCATCCACGCAGGAGACCTGGATGGAGTTTGAGGCTCTTGGTTCCAGCGTGGCCCAGCCCCGGCCATTTGGGAAGTGAACCAGTGAATGGAAATTCCCCATCCCCCTGTAACTCCGCCTTCCAAACAAATCTTTTAAAATCCATAAATGTTGTGATTATATGCCAAGTGCCACCCTAAGCTTGTTTTATGTAATAACCAGATTTGTCCCCGTAACAAACAAGGTAGGTTCTACTATTATCCCCACTGTAAAAGGGAGGGAACTCAGGAACACAGATTTTAAACTGCTCGCTCAAGGCCAGAGAGCAGGACAGCAGTGGAGCCAGGATGGAGTGTATGTGGTCCACACCTGGAGTCACTGCACTACAGAGAAGGAAACACTTGCTGAAGAATACAGGGAGAAAACTCATCAGTCAGCAAAAATGAACAAATTATCTATAACCTCAAGGATTAATGCCTATATAAAAAAACTCAGACTTTAATCATACAAAACTCAAGTATTTAAAATATTTGCTTAAGAAAATTAAAATTATTCAAAATAAGCAGATATTTCAGAGGGAACTTTATCCTGAGTTCTTGCACACACAATCAACTGAGAACACAGATTTTTCCAGAGAGCTGAACACAGGTAACTCACCAATGATGATGATGATGATGAAGACCAGAACACTGATCCCGATCGCCCACATCTGCAACAGACATCACGGGCTTACTGAAGAGTATCTCACAATTCCAGTCACCGAGAGAGAAACGCAGGTGTCCACAATCCGAACAACTAAAGCCTAACGTAAGCTTCCCAGTCAGGGCCTGAAGGTCACTTATGTGCTATAAAAGTACATTCTGGGGGCCGGTGCTGTGGCACTGCAGGCAAAGCTACCACGTGCAGTGCCAGCATCCCATGTGGGTGATTGGTTCAATCCTAGCCGCTCCACTTCCGATCCAGCTCCTGCTAATGTGCCTGGGAGAGCACCAGAAGATGGTCCGAGTCCTTGGGCCCCTGCACCCATGTAGGAGACCCAAAAGAAGTTCCTGGCTCCCAGTTTTGGATAAGCCCAGCTCTGGCCATTGTGGCCATTAGGGGAATGAACCAGTGGATGGAGGATCCCTCTCTTTCTCTGGCCTCTGCCTCTCTGTAACTCTGACTTTTAAATAAATAAATGAATAAACCTTAAAAAAAAAGTGTAGAAAAAGACTTAAAATTAAAAAAAAAATAATTCAGGGACCAGAGCTGGGGCACAGGTTAAGCCACTCCACTGCCTGCAATGCCAGCATCGCATACAGACACCAGTCCCTGGTGCTCCAATTCCAACCCAGCTCCCTGCTAATGCTCCTGGGAGAGCTGTGGAAGACGGCCCAAGTGTTTAGACTCCTTGGACAAATGGGAGACCCAGATGGAGTTCCAGGCACCTGGCTTTGGCCCGGCCCAGCCATGGCCATTGTGACCACCTGGGGAGGGAACCAGCAGATGGAATATTGACCTCTCTCTCTCTAACTCTGCCTTTCCACCGCAGCACAGCAGAGAAAGCTGCTGCCCGCAGTGCTGGCATCCCACATGGGCACTGCATCGCGTCCTGGCTGCTCACTCCCGATCCGGCTGTCTGCTATGGCCTGGGAAAGTAGAAGACGATGGCCTAAGCGCTTGGGCCCCTGCACCAGCGTGGGAGACCTGGAAGAAACTCCTGGCTTCGGACTGGCATTGTTCTGGCCATTGTGGCCAACTGGAGAGTGACCCAGTGGATTGAAGACCTGACTCACTCACTCTCTCTGCCTCTCCTTCTCTGTGTAACTCTTTCAGATTAATAAATAAATCTTTTAAAAAACAAAACAAAACCTGTGTCGCAGGTATGCTTTGCTATCTCAGGCACAGAAAGCCCACAATGTGGGCCGGCGCCGCGGCTCAATAGGCTAATCCTCCGCCTAGCGGCGCCTGCACACCGGGTTCTAGTCCCGGTCAGGGCGCCGGATTCTGTCCCGGTTGCCCCTCTTCCAGGCCAGCCCTCTGCTGTGGCCAGGGAGTGCAGTGGAGGAAGGCCCAGGTGCTTGGGCCCTGCACCCCATGGGAGACCAGGAAAAGCATCTGGCTCCTGGCTCCTGCCATCGGATCAGCGCGGTGCGCCGGCCGCAGCGCGCCAGCCGCGGCGGCCATTGGAGGGTGAACCAACGGCAAAGGAAGACCTTTCTCTCTCTCTCTCACTGTCCACTCTGTCAAAAAAAAAAAAAAAAAAAAAAGCCCACAATGTGTCATACATGGAAGTAAATTTAAAAAACAAAACAGGGGGCCAGTGCCATGGCTCACTTGGTTAATCTTCCGCCTGCGGCGCCTGCATCCCATACGGGTGCCGTGCTCTAGTCCTGGTTGCTCCTCTTCCAGTCCAGCTGTCTGCTGTGGCCCGGGAGTACAGTGGAGGATGGCCCAAGTGCTTGGGCCCTGCACCCGCATGGGAGACCAGGAGGAAGTACCTGGCTCCTGGCTTCAGATCGGCACAGCGCCGGCCGTAGCGGCCATTTGGGGAATGAACCAATGGAAGGAAGACCTTTCTCTCTGTCTCTCTCTCTCACTGTCTATAACTCTACTTGTCAAACTAAAAACAAAACAAAATAAAACAAAAAAACAACTCTGCCTTTCAAATAAATAAATCTTAAAAAACAACAACAACAACAACAAACATGTAAAGGATTTATGGCCCCTAGGAACGGACAGGCTTCCACACAAGGAGCTGCGGATGCACCCTGCATATCTGGACGGTAGGGTGCCCGGGGCCTGGCTGCAGCACGTCTTGGGGGGCCACGCTCCTTGCACGCCTGCTCTCTACTCTTCCATTGTGCACACCGTGACCGCCTCATATTCCCTTCCCTTGACCTCGGGCCTGTCCGCAGAGCCACAGGCAATGTGCCCATCACTTCCAGCCCTCTCCCGGCAGTCTGGTCAGGGCTCCGCAGGGGTGGAGGGCAGAACATGGCTGACTCAGAATCCTACACGTAGAGGGTCAAGGCCACCTCCCCTGCTCACGAGTCTGGTGTTCCAGCCTCTGCTGATCCACTGAGCACGGACAGGAGGCTCAAGGTAGAAGGCGGTTAGAAGAGAGTTACCTTGCAATTCTTCCACCAGTATTTTCTCTTCAACTTCGCAGCACTGGTTTCAAACTGAGAAGCCCCAGCCTGCAGTGCGTCTGCACGGTCATCTAACTCGGAGAGCTTCTGGTCTCTTTCTAACACCTTATCCACGTTGACTCTCATTATGTCCACGACCTACGGGAACACAGGCGCAGCAAGTTCGTCACGCGTCAGGAGTGGGAGAACTAGAATTACAGCTGTGACGTGCTGGCACATTTCTTCACATCAGCCCTTTATTACTTTGAATCTGACTTTCACCAAACAAAAAACAAAACAAAACAAAACAAATTGGGCCCACCCTTTCATGATGAAAACACTCAGAAAACTAAGGGAATTTCCTTCACAAGATAAAGGACACTCTCACCAGTGTCACACTCGGGGTGAAAGACGGAGGGTCCCCGAGATGGGGAGGAGACAGACACCACTTTCCCTGGTGCTGCTCTACGCTGTGCTGGAAGCTCTGGCAGAGCAGTCAGAAACGATAAAGAAAAGGCATTCACATTGGAAAGGAAAAGTAAAACTTATCTCTATTTGCAGATTCCTGAAGAATCTACAACACAAGTACAACTAACAAATTTAGTAAATCTGCAAGGTACAAGATCAACACACATAAATCAGTCATTTCTACACATCGGCAATGAAGAGTAGAACAATTACATTGACAACATCATCCAAAAAGTAAAAAATCCTAGGAATTAACCAAGTAGGGAAAAGACTTGCACAATGAAAACCACAAAACATTGCTGAAAGAAATGAAAGCAAATCCAATTAAACAAGGCATCCTATGATCACACACTGGAACTTAATACAATATTGCTAAGATGGCAATAGTCCCAAAGTGCTGTGCAAGCTCAATGCAATCTCTATCAAATTCAACATTTTTTTTTCTTGAGAAACTGGAAAGCCAGTAACCAAACCGTATGGAATTGCAGAGCTGAAAAGGTGAAGCGAAGCTGGAAGGCTCACACTTTGCAATTTCAAAATTTACTGCAAAGCCATGATAATCCAAACAGTGTGGTATTGGCCACAGAACAGACAACACACAGATAATGGAACAGACCTAGAGTCCGGAAATCAGTCCAAGCATTTATGGCAAACTGATTTCTGACAGGACCATGCAGGGGGGGAGAGAACAGTATCTACAGGGGCCGGCATTTTGGAGTGGGGGGTAAAGCTGTTGCCTGCAATCGTCAACATCTCATATGGGCTCCGGTTCGTGGCCCAGCTGCTCCACTTCTGAGCCAGCTCCTCTCCAGTGGAAAAGCAGTGGAAGATGACCTAATTGTTTGGGCCCCTTTACCCATATGGAAGACATGGAAGAAGCTCCTGACTTCAGCCTCGCCCAGCCCTGACTGTTGTGGCCATCTGGGGAGTGAACCAGCAGATGGAAGATCTCTCTCTCCCCCTCTCTTCCTCCCTCTATACTCTTTCAAATAAATAAATAAGTCTTAAAAAATAGAGTAGTATCTTCAGCAAATGGTGCTGGGACAACTGGACAGTCACATGTAAAATGACTGGACCCCTACCTCACCTCACATATAAGAATTAACTCAAAATAGATCAACCACCCAAGTGTAAAAGCTAAAAGTACAAAAGAAGCAAAAACAAGAGTGAGTATAATCTAGGGTTTGTTCCTGTAAGATCTGATACAAAAATCAAGGGCAACAAAAGGAAAAAACAGCTAACTTGGATTTTGTAAGAATTAACTTTTGTACCTCAAGGGACTGTATGAAGAATGTAAGACAATCCACAGCACAGCAGAAAATATCTGAAAATCACGTATCTGATGAAGGTTTAATATGCAGAAAACATAAAGAACAGACACATCAGCCAAGACAAATCCAATTAAAAACTGGACAAAGGCCTGGAACAGCCACTGCTTCCAAAAAGTCACACACAGAGGCCAATAAGCACAAGAATAGATGATCAATGTCACAACCATCACAAATGCAAAGCCAAGCCAGGACGAGACTCCACCTCAGGCTGCCTGGGCCGGCTATCGTCCAGCACGGGCACAGTCCTGGTGAAGAGGTGGGGAAGCCCCTGGGTGCTGCTGGGAACATGCAGTGGTGGAGCTACTGTGGCACACGGTGTGGCGGGTTCTCACGGAGCTGATAGAGAAGGGCTTCAGGACCCGGCAGTGTTACTCCCAGGTATGTGCTCAAGAGAAACGAAACAGAAGTCTAAACAAAATCTTGTTCGTGAACGTACACGGCAGGATTATGTGTAACAACTCAAATATCCGTTATTGCACGCATGGATAGACACACCACGGTCTCACACACGACGGAATATCATTCAGCCATAAAAAGGAACGACGTGCTGATCTCGCACTGGTCAGATGAACACTGACACATAACGCTGAGTGAAAGAAGCCAGAAACAGGTCTCGTGGTACCCGATACGCCCGAGCAGGCCATCCACTTGCACAGAATCTGATTAGGTACCAGAGAATGGGAATGAGGAACAGAGATAAGTAAGCAGGGTCACTATATGGGGACGGGGTGCTTTTCTGGGGTAAAGAAAAAGTTTTGAGACCGGAGAGAGCTAATGGTTGCATAATATTGTGAATATACTAAATACTAATAAATTGTACACTTTGAAATAGTTAATTATGTTCCACCTCCATTAAAAAAGGAAAGAACTCTCCTTAAAGTTTCTGAAAAAGGGCTCTAATTTGATTTTGTTAGGAAGCAAAAGTTAAAGGCAGCACAGACTTAGCAGGGGTCTCTAAAATGTGAAATGTTGAGAATTAAGTTCATAAACAAAACCATCAAACATTACTACACGATTTAATGATGGTATCTAACATAGTTTTAACTCTGTTTTGTAGGGTAGCAACATACAGAAAGACCAAAATATCTTTGTTGCTCAGTAGTAACTTCGGGAATAAGGAGATCTTGGTCTGAAATCGGGAACAACCTTGTGCTGCACTCCTGCATCTCTGAGATTCTGTGAACAGGGCCAGTGCCGTAGCACAGGCGGTACAGCCAGTGCCTTACGGGCTCCGTATGAGCCCCAGCTGCTCTCCGATCCAGCTCTCTGCTACTGCCTGGGCAAAGCAGTAGGTGGCTCAGGGCCTTGGGCCCCTGCACCCACGTGGGAGACCGGAGAGAAGCTCCTGGTTCCCAGCTCCGGGATTGGCTCAGCTCCAGCTGTCATGGCCGTTTGGGGAGTGAACCAGCAGGAAGAAGACTGCTCTCTCTGCCTGTGCCTCTCTGTAACTCTGCCTTTCAAATAAATAAATAAATATCTAAATAAAAAAGATTCCGTGGGCTGGCGCCGCGGCTCACTAGACTAATCCTCCGCCTTGCGGCGCCGGCACACCGGGTTCTAGTCCCGCTCGGGGCGCCGGATTCTGTCCCGGTTGCCCCTCTTCCAGGCCAGCTCTCTGCTGTGGCCCGGGAAGGCAGTGGAGGATGGCCCAAATGCTTGGGCCCTGCATCCCATGGGAGACCAGGATAAGTACCTGGCTCCTGTCATCGGATCAGCGCGGTGCGCCGGCCACAGCGTGCCAGCCGCGGCGGCCATTGGAGGGTGAACCAACGGAAGGAAGACCTTTCTCTCTGTCTCTCTCTCTCCCACTGTCCACTCTGCCTGTCAAAAAAAAAAAAAAAAAAAAGATTCTGTGAACATCTATTGCTCAAGAATTCTAGGGAACTGGCACTGTGGCCTAAGCGTAAAGCCACCATCTGCAGTGCCAACATCCCATAAGGGCACCAGTTTGTATCCCAGCCGCTCCACTTCCGATCCAGCTCTCCGCTGTGGCCTGGGAAAGCAGCAGAAGATGGCCCAAGTGCTTGGGCCTCTGCACCCATGTGGGAGACCCGGAAGAAGCTCCTGGCTTCTGTCTCCCTTTCTGCCTCGTCTTCTCTGTGTATTAACTCTGACTTTCAAATAAATAAATAAATAAATCTTTTTTTTAAAAAAAAGAATTCTATAAATACGGATGTGTTGAGCTGCAGTTTGCCAGAGACTGCCTTCTGTGTGTCAATGGGCAACTGTCACAGATGAATTCTACAGAGACTTGCTCAGACTGGGTAATGTGTAGGTCAGGCTAAAGGACAGAGCGTTTTGATTTAAAAATACATGTATATCCATCAGAAGGACTGGTCCTGGCATGAGCAATCTTAGACCTAATCCTTAAAGTTCTGTTACTTTTTTTAATAAGACACTTTTGGGGCATGCCCTCAGGGAGACTGTTTTATGTACATGATTCTATATAGGTTCCCGGAGAGTCTGACTTTGGCTTAGATTAGGGCAGATTCACTACCTTTATGATAACTCAACACTGATGTTCCATTCACACCTTTACGAGAGTTTTTCTAAACAGAATTATCTTCGGCACGCTGCCATGTTTGTTTAAATCTACGTTCCCAGCATTTCGAGCGATACCTCATCCACTTGGTTCTGCGTCTGCTGAAGTCTTCTGCTGCCGGCAGCAGCGCTGGAACCTGCAGGTGCACCCGTGGACCTGGAACGCGGAAAGGCACAGCATGAGTCGGTCAGGAATCCCAATACAGTACTGTCAGCTTTAGGATGCGATCCCATTCCCCAGGACTCCAGTGCGGACAACGCTCACATCACAACCAAAGCGAAAGAGAACCCTGCCTGTAGACCTGAACAGTTCCTCCAAGATTACCAATTTGCCCACATCCGAGGGACCGGAGTCCAGGAGGAAGGCTCGGTAGAGTCTGGTACACAGCAGCGACCCCCAGCCGGGCACACACACAGGCCGCTCTCGGCACTCAGGACTCCCCGGGCCCTTCCACTGCGGCAACAATGCTTTCAGAGGAATAAGAGTTCCGGTGTCTCCTAATAGCGACTCATTTACAGACACAGCGTAGGAACACCGGGCGGGGGGGGGGGGGGGGGGGATGCCGTGGAATGTTCGAGAATGGCGAGGAAGCATCGCATCCTCTCAGCGACCGACTCATCCTCCAAGTCTCCCTCTCTTGGCCACTGCGGCCCGGAGCTCCCCTAGGGCTTGGCTGGCGCCGGACAGTCACCAGTCACCTCTCTCCTGACAAACCACGGGCTCCTGGGTCCTAGAATTCTCTCCTCCGTGTTCAAGAATGCCTGGAGTGCTGGCGCCGCGGCTCACTAGGCTAATCCTCCGCCTGCGGCGCCGGCACTCCGGGTTCTAGTCCCGGTCGGGGCGCCGGGTTCTGTCCCGGTTGTCCCTCTTCCAGGCCAGCTCTCTGCTGTGGCCCGGGAAGGCAGTGGAGGATGGCACGGGTGCTTGGGCCCTGCACCCCATGGGAGACCAGGAGAAGCACCTGGCTCCTGCCTTCGGATCAGCGCGGTGCACTGGCTGCAGCGCGCCGGCCGCGGCGGCCATTGGAGGGTGAACCAACGGAAAAGGAAGACCTTTCTCTCTGTCTCTCTCTCACTGTCCACTCTGCCTGTCCAAAAATGATAATAATAATAATAATGCGTGGAGCACCTGCCTCGCCACACAACATCAGTTATTTAAAACCTGCCGCGCGTCAGCAGCCGGGGAATAAGGCAGATCCCACGCTGTTCTGCGTGGAGTGTCCGCGAGAGCACGCAGAGGGCCCACGCCCCGCGCGGGCTCCTTGGATCCTAACTCTTTGGGGTGGGGGGGACACTGCCGATGCCCTCAACACGAGGTTTAGCAGTCACTCCAGGGGGCATTCACCGGCTCCGGGGGTCCGCGGGGCTCTGCTGACCAGCACAGCGGCCTCCCCAGGGACGTCCCACGGGCGCGCCCCTCGGGCGCTGGGCTGGTTTTCCCCGCAGGGGTTGCAACGAGGGGCTGGAGGCGAGACTGCCGGGGCCCTGCGATGCTGGACAACCGAATCTGGAAACAGCGGTCTCCAGGGCCGCAGCCCCAGGAACGCATTCGCTCAGGAGCAGCAAGGCCCCGGCCAGGCTGCCGTGTCCCGAGGCCGCCGCTCCCGGCCCCGCGGTCGCCGGCGCTGCTCTTGGGGACCTCGCGGGGCAGGGCCGGGCTGCAGGGCTGGGCGCAGCCACTTCCTCCCGGAAGCCCGCCGGCGGCAGGGCCCTGGGGACGGCCGGCGGCGCCGCGGCGACAGCTAGGCCCTGCCACGGCCCGCACTCCCGCGGGCGCTGCCCGCCGCAGGCCTCGGAACGCACTCAACGCCCTCACGGGCTCGGCCCGCGGCGGAGGGGCGACCGGCAGGCAGCCACCGGGCCGTGCGACGGCTCCCGCCGCGGGCCGCCGCCTGCGGGCCCCGAAGCCGCCCCGCGCCCCGTCGCGTCACTCACATTTTGGCAGCGGCGGAGGCGCGGACGGCGGGGCGAGAGTCCTCCGAGCTGCGCAGCCCAGGACCTAGGCTCGGGGATGGGTGGGGTGGCGCGGCGGCAATGACGTCATCGGGCGCGGCCGGGCGCGCCGGAAGTGGGCGCCCACGTGGGCGGGGCCAGCGCGAGGCGCCGTCTGCGTCCTAACGCCGTCGGCGGGGCCTGTGGCGGCCGCCCCGGGCCACTGGCAATGGCGGCGTGGGGGGGCCTGGCCGCTGGGGACGCGGTCAGGGGGAGCAGGCGGTACGGGACAGGGACTGTCTGGGCGAGGGCGGGGCTCTGTACGTTCTTCCGGGTGTTTTCGTTTGTGACCGGTGTCTGTCAGCGCCCGCCGCCGGCCGCGCTGAGGGGCGCCCGGGTCGAGGCGGAGTGTGAGGTGGGAGTGGGGAACGCAGTGCCGGCTTGGCCGCGTCTGTCACGTGAGGAAGGAGCGAGCGCGCGCCCCGGGTTGGGGTCGGGGGTCGGGCCGGGCCGGCCGCGCTGGGCACGCGCCGGGCACGCGGCAGCCGGCGGGGCCGGGGGCCTCGAGGAGCCGGCGGGGGCCGCTACGGGCGTGGGACGGTGCCGGCGCGGACGGCCGCTGGCCGGGACACTGGCCCAGGGCTTGGGACTTCAACTGCAAAGCTGGGCGTCTGCAGGACTGACTCTCGCTCAGGAAGGCGTCCGCCCAGCGCTGTTCGGGATCACGGGTTGGCATTGGGAACCGGCACGTGCTCACCCCCTTGGATTCCGGGAACGGGTCAAGTTAAAGCAAAACACGGATAGTATGGGGAAATTTTCTTCATTTTTAATTTACAGCAGAAAGAATATAAAGCATTCAGAAAACATTTTCCATATTTTAAGGGCAATTCAAAACATTTTGCATGGTTTCCAGCAGCTGAGTTCTTCAACAGATCCATTGATTCAATGATGCTTTACATGCACAATTACAAAAATAAAACTTACAAAAAAGAAGACATCTAGACTAGTTTTACATGCAAGTCTCAGGGACCCCCCGTTGGGCGCCAACTACTGTGTGGAACTGCCAGAAGCGACCGTGCAGCCAGAGAGGGGGTTCGTGTTATTGTCTTTTATTTCGTTCACACAGTACAGCTGATTTCGAATGGGTAACGAGAATAGCAATTAAATCTTCAGGAGACAGAATAAGATTAGCTATTAATTTTATAATGAAATCCTACTCCTGGCACTTGGGAATTCAGATTATCCAAGAAAGCTGCGCTTACCTATCATCTTATATTCGAAATTAAGGTTCACAACCAAGAGAAAGCGGTCAGAAAAGCTTCGATTCAGTGGAAGTGCGTTTGTCCCTCACCGAGGATTCACAGTTGGACTGGTAGGTCGGAACCTACTTCCCATCCCCTCCGTAAGAGCCCTCCCAATTCTGTGTAAGTCTCTAATCTGGAATTTTCTAACTTACTCAGCTAATAATGTAGCATGTGAAACATCTTTTGAAATAAAAATAGTGTGAGGGTTAAAGCAAATCCACTGAGGTCATTACTCTGGTCAGAGATCAGTTACTGTACCGTAATCAATGGACTGAACATCCAGATCCAGTGTGGATAGAGGGTATCCCGGAAGAGCTGGCTTTCACATTCCCCGTTTATGAATGCGACTGTGTGTTCCTGGAATACGCAGCGTCCTCCTCTAGGTCAGACCGTGTCAAACAACGGGGATCTGGGGGACCGCACAGCTGCGACGTAACCCACACATTTAAAAACAAAATGGAGTCAGGTCGTTTACAAATGTACAGGTGGCTACTCATTGTGGGGCTGTCACTGTTGTCAAAGCCAGTCACAAAGCAGAAAGACGTATACTGTACAGTAATTCGAGGTTGGCAGTGAAAGGAAGTAATTAAAAAACAAGTACAATTATAGAAAAGGCACCAAGAGCACTGACCCCAGTTTTTACCACAATCTTTTTGTGTCCACCTTCCTTCTGAGACACCAGTTTAAAAGCTCATTCGCGAATTCTGATAGGCTTCACAACAGGCCTCGAGTTCTCAACTCACAGTTGGCAACTGGAACCGAGAGAAAACACCTCTGCCAACGGATGCTCGGCCTCGCCTGGGCATTTTAAACTGGCGTCAGCAACGCGAACTTCATTCTCTCAACCTTGGTAGTTTAATTTGTAAAAGCATCAGATTTCTTTGGCTCCTCGTTATGTGGAAAGAGTTAAATACCATGACGTCCCTTACAGGGCCAGTCTGCATCTTTTTCACTTTTGAGTTATTTGTGTGTGTGTGCAATTTTCACTTCACTTTCTGGTTTCCAGCAGGAGATATGAAAATGTGACATTTCCCTACTTTGCATTCCGTTTCTTTTTGTCAGGTTTTGATCGTTCTGAGTGTTCTTTGTTGGAGTGGATGGTGTTAGGCTATTTACTGATTTCTCTTATGATTATCTGTTTTGCAAAATTAAATTAATTTTCTTAAGCAATATTAGCATTCACATTACTTGGCACCATTGGCAAAAAAATTTTAAATAAAATAAACTAAACTCCTGGTAGCCAAAATTAAATGTAAACATATCCTTTTTTTTTTTAAGTAATGTTACTCTGCCTTTTTTCCTAAGTCTAAATACAGTAGCTCTTTTTTTTGCAGTTTAGTCATGCTTTAGCAAAATGTTCTTCTAAAGAACATTTAAAATAAAGTACTCTTATAGTGAAATAAAGGATTTTTTGTTTCATTTTACAGACCATAGCCACTAATGCTTTGCTTTTGTTCATTTCTTTTTTCTTGATTTCATGCACATATCTCTTTGTTTTAATATATACAATATATACAAACAATACATCCACATTTTTCTCGCTCATTCAGACAAAACTATACAAATAATTTTATCTTGCCATGTTATTGACCTTTGTGAATAAAATATTTAGCAATTAATATAATCCCTTTCAAATATTTTCTCACTTTTCATTTCTACCCTCTGTATATACACAGACACCGCTCCGCTGGATGAGATAGAGCCAAAAACATGGAATTTACTGGCCAGAACGCAGCACCACACTGATCGTTTAGGTGGCAAATGTCCAGGCAAGGTTTATGATTCCTTAGAAGTGCTAGTTTCCAAGGTTACTAAAAAAGGCTACATGCTTTCCCAATTCTTAAGTAATTCTCATTGCACATGAAAGTAAGGCAAAAAAATTAAAGTGCTGAACATGAGAGAAGGGACAAGACAGTTATTCGCAGGGCTTCTGGGAGGTGGTGGGGACAAGAAAATAAATTTAAACTCTGTGAAGCTGTTTCTTGTTATTTCCCATGCATTACCCGTTTGCCACACACCCGCCCCTCTGCAAATTTCCACAAGACATTAAAAACCTGCAGATTTTAAAAGTTGCATTAAGTGTGCTGTAGAGATTAAAACAAACAAGACAAACGAACAAAGAAACAGTGAAGGAAATGAGAACACACGGACCCGATACAGACTGTATGATCTGAGCCCTCCACTGAGAACCAATCCCAGAGATCCACCTTCTTGGCAATGACCGACAGGCGCAGGCACGGCATCCTTGCTGCTGCTCAGGTAGCCCCACCTTTCCTTAGCTGTATTTTTGGTATAAATATTTGTACAGTTCCACACGATGTTTGAATGCAGCCCTGTATGAGAAGGAAAACGGCTTCTTCTGAAGATGAAGCCTCTTCAGTTCCTCCCGGTGTCTGGTTTTCCTGTGATCCAACAGAAGATTGAGTTCCAAGATGTCTTGCTGATCAAATTAAAAGTTGTCCATGAAAGTGCAAATGCAATGACCAAAACATTCCTGTTAAAATCCTGCAGCTGATCTCCCCAAAACTGCAGAGGGATCGTGTGTGCATGTGTGTGTGCGCATGTGTGTGAGTTGTGTTGTTGCATGTCTCTGCTAAAAACAGAAATGAAAACAGTCTGAAAAAGCAACGTCACATTGCTAAGGGATGCTGCTGTATGTCTTCAAGTTCCTTGGCCTTTTTCAACTCTTTCACTCTGGAAGAGAAACAAAGAAAACACCAGGTGATAACTATATAGTGAAACTGTGACTGAATAGAGGGGCGTTACCACTCGCTCTGGACTGAGAAGCCAGGACAGCAACCCTCTTCAGGATTGATGGCAAAAGAAACTTCTGGGAAGTTGCCGGAAAAACACCCGAAAGGGAAGAATGACCCTTCTTAGGGTGATTAAAAATCTTGTCTGCTCTAAAATGTGCTGTACCATCAAGTGCTCTAAGAACAGCAAAATCAGTCTCCTGTACTGAGTGTAACAACAGGGTCAGCTTAGGAAAGGCTACCTTTTCAAATGACTTTTGGGCCGGCTGGAGCACCACTAAGCCCTAGAGCTCCACAGGGGAAGTGCACATACATTCATTGTAGCTCTCAGTGTACTGAGGAATTGAAGTCTTGGCTATCTTGAACCTGAGTACCTCTGCACAATTCACTCTTGCCCTTGTGTGCTGTGGAGTCTTTGATTTTCTCTTCTTCCAATCCACATGTGACTTTTTTTTTAAAAAGACATTGAGGTTTCTCTCTTTAGGGCCCCCAGATGGACAGCAAGTGTGTGTGTAACACTGATAACACACTCTGTTCTGCTTATCAAATATACGGTTGTGAGCAAATTTAAATGGAACTGTTACGGACTGATGGAAAAGCCACATCAGCAAATCATTAATTACCACCTCCAATCTGTATTTTTCATTTAAAAGTTTGCCCATTTTTTGAATAGACTGGGTGGCAGGCAAGCAGCTGTAAACTGAGGGAACAGTCCTCTATACTGACAAGGAATTATCAGTTCCCCTAACAGCTGATTAACCAGATGAAGTCAGTGCAGGCCATGAAGTCAGGCTTTGCAGTACAGCATGCTACACAGTAGCATTTGTTTCTCCAGAAAGGGAATGAGTGCCTGATTTTGGTACAAGAGAAGCATTAGTTTCTCTCCCTCGGTAGCAAGACAAGAAGTCTGACTTGTTCTGGACCTATACAGGGGTCAATAATTTCAAATAAGTTTCCAGTTCTCAAAGAAGTCTTTTCTGTTACCTTAAGTCGCACCAGTAAAACTAAAATTTCATTTTAAAACAAATGCTAGTTTACTTTCTAAACAGATCCCTGAGCAGGAAGAAAATGCTTTTAAAAAGAGGTTTCATTCCTGTGCTACCCAGGTCAGAAGCAACGGAACGAGACGCTGTCCCAGCAACGAGAGAAGGTGACTGCGGTTCCCCCCTCCACACAGAGGGTTTCTGGGAATTCTGCAGGGCTGACACGGCCTCTTCAAACACAGGAGGCCCCCAGAAGCAATGCTGCAGCACGTTTCCATCAGCAACACCCAACAGAGCTACTGTGTTTGAAAACTCGCTTGTTTGATTTACTCTGCACCTATACCAAGCCCAGGCTGGGCCTCGCGTGACACGTACATGTGACACTGACAAGCAGTTAGCTCCTAAATCTCGGATTCTTTTAACAGGCACATTTGGAATACACTGCTAGGTTCACAACTAGAGCCAGATGTTATCTGGTTTTACATTTTATAATCAAGTAAACCATGGATGAATACCTTTTTAAGGTGGTTTGGGTCCTATCACAGTACGGGACAGTGCATCATTCTAGGTCCCTCCTTTTGGACATGCATAATTAATAAATGGCCTTTAAAAATTGAAACATGCTACAGTCTCTGTTCAATTTTTAAACATGCAGTATCTATGCTAACATCCCTTTGGCTGGAAAAATGCAAGGCATGCGCCGATGCCACCTTCCCTTCTGGACATGCAATCTCTGCACCTGTGCAGACCCGCTTGTCGGTCACTGCCAAAGACGCATGCTACCGCTGCTGTATTTGATCTCTGCACTAGCACAGAACTCATTCACAGATATGCAACAGACTCCATCGCTGATGAGGTTTCCATCCATTCTCAGTTTTCCTAGAGTGAAGAGGACTGCCTCAAAAATGTGAAGTCCATCATTGAGATGAACTACAAAGGAGTGTGAATGATAAGGCTGAGATGTTTCCTACAGTTTCTACCAAAGAACCTGGTATCAGCTGGTTAGGGTATGTACAAAAAAATTTTTTTCTTTTAGTTAAATGGTCACATTGGTTTCTTCAATGATTTTTTTTTCAGTTTCTCTCACAACTAATTAGAAAACCAATTAAGTTTTCATAAGGTTTTAGAGTTACTGCATTAAAAATTGCTATAAAATTAGTGATGGCCTCACGGATCACCAAGTTGAGGAGGGGTATGCGTCCACGAACAGAGAATGTCTGCCTGGGACAAATGAGGACACCCCAATCATCACAGACACGTGCTAGGCTCTTGTAACTCCTGAGTGATGGAGAATTTCATTCTTGGTTTTGTCATGAAGTCACTGCAGCGTGCTAGTGTTTCACATGATGCTAGAATGACGGACATGGCACAGACATTTCTCTACAGGAAATCATTAAAGGAGGAATTAGATGAAAAGGTAGAAAGAGGAAGAAACGTGGACGACCTCGCAGGTGCTGTGCAGGTTGCTGGGATTCGCTACCTCCTGCAGTCATCTCCAGAGGTCAGTGGGGAACCTGAGACTTACAGGAAGGAAGCGACTTGCCCCAGATCAGTTAATAAACAGCACAGCAGCGATCTGAACCCAGGTTTGCTTGACTTCAAATGCTTCTAGTAATCTCAGACTAACAGAAAAAAAATCTTAATATTCTTATTTCATTGTTTTTTTTTTCAAAAGAATTTACTAAAAAAAAAAAAATCGAAGCCATTTGGAAAGTTCCACGTAGAAAATGAGACTGACAGCTCTGCTTTCTCAATGCCAGGACGTCCCCCTTTGTCAAGACACTGCGCTGGTCTCACTACAAGGTTTTGGTTGGGGGAGGCCTCTGCATAAGATGTGCATCTTGATCTTACAAGGCAATCGGATTTTAAATCCAAAACCACGCAGCAAGAACCCAAGCCCCATTCTCCAACTCGCATCTTACAGACCATGCAGGTGCTGACCGGCCCCCGAAGGCTACAGGAAGCTGGGCAGCTTCTCCCTACCCTCCTGAAACACCAGAGTTTTGTGTCATTTGGATGACTCAGGACGTGAGGGGTGATTTTTATTGTTTTAAATTAAATGTCAACTGGGAAAAATGTCAGAATACTACATTGCCCCCAGTGAAACAGAACAATCCTCTCTCTGATACGATGTAGAATCAGAGCGCTTCCTGTTACCACAGGAATCTGTCTTTGCCTTGTTACGGTCAACAAAGTGAACGATCCCCAAGAGGCTCTGGGCTGTTTCCAAAGCTTTTGTCGGCTTAAGGCCTACTCATCATCCTTTAAAAGCTGATGTTTTTCTATCTACCTACACCTCACAAATGTGTTCACGTGACATACAAATAGCTAAAAAACTTAGGGGAGGAAAAAAATTGTGTAAACTAGAAACCAAGATCAGTTGCCTGGTATTCCCTGTGTTGTAGGTGTGCTTTCAGTGTCAGCTCGGTACACACAGACCCGAGTCTTTCAAGTTGGAACTAAGTCTGAGGATCTGGTGTCTGCCACTATACATCTATTACTCAGAACACAGGTGCTCAACAGTCCCCGCCCCTTCTTACGGGGACCTGGGATTTTGGTTCTCTTGAGGGAATGTAACTGTGAGACACTTTGGGGGCTAAAATGAACCTAAAAATGTCCAGGTCACTTTAAAAAATCTCACTGCAATTGCACTTCTGTCTGAATCCTGTTACGTGGAAGACACGTAAAAGCAGCTTCTCTCTCCTGAGGTTGTAAAAACAATTAACGGGATGGGAACCAGAGCTGCTGTCCCCTCCGGAGAGCTCCGCGGGCATCTCTGAACCTCCCGCCAGTAACCTGGAGCTGGGGCAATGAGGCCAGCAACACCTCGCCTGTGACCATCGACTAAATTGGGGGACAATCCCAGGGTCTTCCCGGGTGTTCCAGGCTAAGGAGACTCATCGCCTTCCTTGGGATACTGCTGTAGTCTCAACCAGACCCCCCCCCCAAAAAAAAGTGGTTGCATCGTAATGTACTGGGGTGACTGAAGTGATGGAGGAAGCAGCAGCACCGAAAGCCAGCAGAAGCCACGGGGTCTGTTTCCAGCAGACGTCCGGTGACAACTTAGGAAACCCAGAGCGAACAACGGCTGCGTGGGGAAGCACAGGGCCACAGCTGCTTCGTTCCATCTGCTCGGGAATGCTCAGCCAGAGATGTTTCATGAGTCAGTGGAGGCCAGCAGGTGTCTTCCCGCAAGGCTGCGCGTCAGAGATCGGGGCAGCCAGGGCGGCTTTCTGATGAGTTACCTGTTGCTCTGAGAGCTGCAAAGGCTCGTGGGGAATTTAGGGAAAGGGAGATCTCGCCATTTTCCAGAAATCTCATTGGGATTGCAAAACAAAAAAGACAGAGAGGCCCGGTAAGAATGACACAGAGCCTGCTGTCTGCGATTTAATGCACACCACTGTCTTCCAAAAACATCCATTTCCTAAAAGAGGCAAGTGAGACAAAGTTACTTCGGAGAGTCCAAATACACCCACGATGACACATCCCACATTCACGTCTTACTGCTCAGCCAACCGACTGGGCCACGTGGAAACTACACCTCACGGCAAATCTAGCTGAAGGGCTGGGACACCGCGGGGGCTGCCCGGGCCCTGGCTCCGTTCCCCCGAGGGGCAGGCCTCCAGGTGCTGTTCCCATGAGCTGGGAGTGTACGTGTGACTTCCAGAACCGGGAAAGCCCTGCAGAGGGGACCCACGTCACAGCGCAGCTGTCAGAAGCGTAAGGCAGAGCCGCGTCCCTGAAATCACTACTTACCAAAGTGGCCGGTGCTTCCGGCGAGGGAAGTGTTTAGAAAACTCCATTCTCAAATACAGAGAAAATCTGTTGTTTAAAAATGTGCAACGAAGGGGCTGGTGACGTGCACAGTGGGGAGAGCCTTCTACCTGCAAGGCATGTGGGCACCGGTTCAAGTCCCAGCTGCTCCACTTCCAATCCAGCTCCTTGCTAATGGCCTGGGAAAGCAATGGAAAATGGCCCAAGTACCTGGGCCCCTGCACCTACATGGGAGACCCGGAAGAAGCTCTTGGCTCCTGGCTTTGGCCAATAGATGGAAGATATCTCTGTCTCTGCCTCTCTTTCTCTTTCAAATTAATAAAAACTAAAGGGGGGGGGGGTGCAACCAATAAGTGTTTTTCCTTTTAGTCCACTAGGACACGTGTACCCAACCTTTGCTGAACACAGTTGGGTGGGCGATTACCAACTGGCTATTTACATAGCAGAATTGCCCCTGCTCATGGTAACAAAATACTGCTCCCAGGAGTCTGACTCCCAAAGCAAGCAGGGATCTGCCTAGAGCTGCTTTCCAGGGAGGGACATCTCTCATGCCGAAGATCATTTTCTGCTACAGAAAAGTCATGGAGAGAAGTGGAAAGCCATTTTCTGTCTTAAAAAGGGCATTTGTGTTTAAGGCAGATGGAGTCTGTTCCAAAGCCTGTCATCGGCTACTTCCTCTATATGTGCACTGCCCTGGTTTTTCCTGTTAGACATCCTCACACCCATCCAACTGGAAGCAGGTGTTTTCAGCGCACTTTAAAAGTTTCTCATGGGGCTGGCGCTGTGGAGTAGCCGTTAAGCCTCCAACTGCGACACTGACATCCCATTGGAATGTCTGGCCGCTCCACTTCCAATCCAGCTCCCCGCTAATGACCTGGGAAAGCAGTGGAAGATGGCCCAAGTGCTTGGGCCCCTGCACCCACGTGGGAGACCCAGAAGAATCTCCTGGCTCCTGGCTTCAGATCAGCCCAGCTTTAGTCATTACAGCCATTTGGGGAGTGAACCAGCGGATGAAAGACACCTCTCTCTCTCTCTCTCTCTCTCTCTCTCTCTCTCTCTCTCTCTCTCCCCCTTCCTCTCCCTCCCTGTGTAACTTAGCGCCTCTCAAATAAATAAATAAATCTTAAAAAAAAAATCTAGGTCTCACTAAAAAAAGTTTCTTACATCACAAAAGTCCTTTGGTTATTTGCTTAAGTTGGTGTAATACCTAAACTACCTGAGAAACAATTAAAACTGATTTAAACATCTGTCTCTGAAGTTCCCTCCTAAGTGGACAATTCACATGCAAGACAAAGGAAAAAAAAATAAAAGTCAAAACCCTTAGGGGAGCATCCACAAGTTGGTAACTGTAGTGCTGAAGTGAGTGGGTGACCTGGGCTAAGCCTGAAGGGACAGGAGGCAGCGGCTTGGTGCTTCTTCCCCACTCATTTCCATACACAATGGTATTTTCTGATTGCTGGGCTGCTGGGAGCCCACAGGGTCTTAATTCTGACAAAGGACACGGCCCCTCTGCTCACCTCTCCTCCCAGATCGGGTCAATGATGGAGACCCATAAATGCAAACACCGCCCCAAATCTAAGCTTTCAAATGCTTGTTGATGCAAACACCCTAAAGGACCTCAGACAGGAGTGCTTCGTAAATTAACAAAATGAGCACATTATATTCTGTGACATTCCAGAAACAGACTCCTCCTCAGAGAAGGCTCTGCCTCCCCAGGGTGACTCCAACTTGGGGGTGGTGGGGGCAGAGCCGCTGTGAGAACCAGGAGAGGTGTCATGGGCAGTTAGGCAAAGCTGTAGGAAGTGCCATGTCCATTCAGACAGCTGCTCAGCTCCTGTCACTCAAACTCCCTAAAGACTGGGGGGGCAGGGGTGGGCGTGCGTAAGGGCCATGATGAGGTTCCAGCGTCCCATGCATGAGTAGGAGTTTCGGGAGCTCCCGACAGGATGCAGCAGGCACTGGAGAGGTGGAGGCGGGGGCTGTCGCTGGCAGTGAGCGCCTCTGCAGAGAGTGCCGGTAACAAACTGAGACGCCCAAGCTTCCCGAGTGCAGGAACAACCTTCTACCAGGACGCCGCTTCCCTGCGTGTGACATGCAACCCGCTGCAGCTGCCGGCTGCACCGCTACGAGAGCATGCATCTCCTCTCCTGGAGGAGTTGTTTTTGTTTGTTTGTTTGTTTTGTTTTAAATAGAAAAATCATCTGTGTCTGCCAGGGTGGGAGGAGCCGGCAGAGGCGGCCATCAGTATCCCCCGTTTCTCGTGCATTTCCAACGCAGACGTCTCTGAGCCTGCTCTACCTTCTGGACCTGAGTCACCTCTGCTGTAAACCGCTGCCGGACGCTGAAGAGCCTGACCCAGGTAAACGTAAACACGTGGAGCTGCATTTTGCTCTGTTTTCCTTTTCTCAACACAAATTTCTGCAGTGACTACCCATGGGTTTAGTCTTCCATAAAGACAGGGCCGTGACGCAAGAAGAAGCCAGCAAGCTGCGGCCCCTGGCTGGGACCCAGGTGGGACCCACCCTGCGTCCATTCTCGTAATAGTCTTATTAGGATGTGGCCACGGCCATTCCTCTGGGAGAGTGGCTGGGACAGACTGTGTGGCCTCAAAGCCTACAATATTTACTCTCTGGCCCATTCAGAATAAGTTTTCAAGGAGCCGGCGCTGTGGCGCAGCGGGTTAAAGCTCTGGCCTGAAATGCTGGCATCCCACACCGGCACCGGTTCTAGTCCTGGCTGCTCCTCTTCCAATCAAGCTCTCTGCTGTGGCCTGGGAAAACAGTAGAAATTGGCCCAAGTCCTTGGGCCCCTGCGCCGACGTGGGAGACCCGGAGGAGGCTCCTGGCTCCTGGCTTTGGATCAGCTCAGCTCCAGCCATTGCGGCCAATTGGAGAGTGAACCAGGGGATGGAAGACCTCTCTCTCTGTCTCTACCTCTCTCTGTAACTCTGTCTTTCAAATAAATAAAATAAATCTTTAAAAAAAAAAAAGAAAAAGTTTTCAAGCCCCTGGCTAAAAATATAAAATCTATGAAATTGATAGGAAGTTTGCCAACCCCTGGCTTAGAGTACAGTAGATAAATACCAGCATCTAAGTGTGGTTACTGGGACATAATTCACACCTCCAGAGGTCAGAGGTTCTAAGATTTGAGCTATGGTCTTCTCTGAGAAATCTTAAAAAGGACTGAATAAAGTACTAATGTGAAGTTAGGGTTGGTGCTGAACATACTTGATTGAGATAAGGCCCGTATTTCAAATTCGTAAGAAAAAAAGCTAACAAATCCATCTGAACTCAAGTCCAGTTCTAGTGAATTCTATCTGCTTTTTAACAGGTTTCTGACGCTCAATCTTCACTGTAACTTGAGGTGTGTTCCAGTCACACCTGGCGGCGTCTTCTGCCTCTTGCCTGACAAATCAGCACCTCTTCTGAAATCTCAGGAAAACCAGCAGCGCCTACTGTGGAGTACCGACTCCCTGCCGCTTCTTTAAACGATGGACCCCACTGGAACAGCCACTCTGCACCGCGCAGAGAGGGCGCAGGTCCGGGAGACGTCACACCCTCCCCCACCCCCGTTTTCTGTCCAGCCTGGCCCTGGAAGCTGCGTGACACCGCATGTGCTGGGCGGGTCTGGCAAGGAAGCCTCTGTGTCTGACTTACCTCCTCACATAGGGAGAGGGAGACTCAGAAAGCCAAACTACAGGGGCAGCGCACTCGGCCACAGTCGTCCTAAACAAGACACTTGACCGGCTTTGTGCCTTCTTGCTCAGGCAATGTCGGCAAAAGCCGAGTTATTTCTCGTAACGCAGCCTTGACTAGGGTTCAACTCGTGCTGCGGCCACTGTTTTACACGGGAGGCCTCTTCCACCGAGCCTGCCCCCCTCTCCCTCACTCATGCACTTGTATGTCTACCGTACACGACTGCTCTCCTGTTGTGCAAGACGGCAGTGTTAGTAATTGGGGTTAGTTCTTATTTAATTTCATTTCATTCAAAATGGAGGTGGAACTTACTGGCATACCTAGGCTGCAGCCCCATGCAAGCAAGCAAAAAGCAAAATACCGAGAATGGAAGAGGAAGAGGAACTGGCTAGCAGGCAGCTGCACTCACCCTTCTGCACAGCCTATGGTCCACCAGGGGGCTTTAGACAGCAAAACAACACCAGAGAGCTATTAGCAGAGGGCCACGGCAGGATCGACAAACAGCTGCTTTTCAACCAAAGGGAATACAAAATGGCTTCTTTTTCGGGGAGAAAGAAAAGGCGAGTGATAGTGGGGTATGTGGAACGAGCAGGTGGAAAATTCACCAACTGACTTTTAAGTCTTACAGCAGGGCCGGGGTCTCCACTTCTCACTGATTCCTGAAGCCCCTGTCTACCTGCCCTTCTGAGAGGGGCCACACGAGGTTTTCTTTAATATGGACTTCTCTGCTTCTAAGGGACAACAGACATTGACAGTTTCCCTTAGAACAGTATCAGGCGGCCCAGGATGACACCAGGGTGACGTAAGCCCCCAGGGAAATCCAAGTCTGATGGCAGCACACGCACAGCTTTTCAGCATCTTCTCACATTCCTCGGTGGAACACGAAGGAGTGAGTGGGAGATGAACACCAGTCCTGCAGGCCACACACAGCGGTCACGGGAAACCCTGGGCTGTTTCCTAACATCTAACGTCTGGTCAACACGAGGTCAAGGGCCAGCAACGATCTTTACTTGTTTCCAAATAATGAACGGGGATTCAGGGCCCAGCATCTCGTGTTCTCCTCACACCGAGCCTTCTTGGCGGCCTTCCTCAGTGGTGAAAGCCGAAGGAAGCTACAAGTCTTCCGTGAAGTCTCTCCCAGCTGCTGGAGCCCACAGAGAGCAAGCAGGGGACCTTTGTAGGGGCCTTCGGGGAGTTTATGTCCTGTTGAAGCATTCCACTCTCTCAACCCACCCAGTGTACAAACAGGGCGTGGCTTTGGAAAAAAAAAAAAAAAAAGAGGAAGAGAAAAAAAAGTGTAGAACGTTATGTGCTTTGCTCAAAATCCAGAGGACTGCATTACCTCCACCTATATTCAATGTCTGAAGATAAGACTCGAAGAAATGAGGGTGATCGCGGAGTCCAAGTTCACTTGTGAACATTCTGGAAAGCGGGGGACTGTGCCACAGCAATGCTCTTGAAAACGCAACCCGTCTGCAGAGCGTCCACGAGACTCTGCTCCCGGTGGTCAGTCTCCTGGCTTCGGTGCTGCAGGAGCCAGAGGGATGGGGAAGGAGGCAGAGTGCACAAGGGAGACGTCGGGCTGAGGGCAGGCCAGGTCCGCGGGGCTCGCCAGACGGGAGACCCCAGCTGCTGGTGTTGGTCCCCAGCGCTCAGATGCCAGGTGAGTGTCTGACAAAGCGGCAAGGCAGGAGACTGGCGAGTTTGGAGATCAAGATCATTATGTGACAGCCGAGTCCCACGCTTCATATGTGTTTCTGAACAGGACTTCCTACTTCTGAGTCTTGGTAGCAGTCTGCTGTCTCGTTTGGTAGTTGCCGTGTGCAATGAGGAGCCCCCAGTCCTGCACCTCGGACACAGGAGGAGCCGCGGAGGCCCAGGGAAGGTGCACGTGCTCCCGTCATAGCCTCCACACTGGACAACACCCATCGGGCCTGGAAACCCTCTTCCTGTTTTCCCTGTTGCTAACATAGGGGCAGCGCGTGTTTCCCTCCACAGCCATCTAAGTGAATTGTTTTGTTGATTTAGAGAAAGGTACAAGGGACCAGTTAAACCCTATGAAGTCTCAAAGGTCAAACGTTTCAAAGTTAGCAATCCGATGGTTTTAGGAGTTAGAAAAATACAAATGGCAGTGACACAAGACCTCTGAGGATCAAATTCCAGCAGGTGTTAAGACACAGAGGCACAGGGAACACACAGCCAAACCACTGGGGAGGCCCCCTGCGCACGGGAGACGTGGCCACTGTGACGGAGGTTGGGCTGGACTGAAACTTAGAGGAAGCAAAATGATGTTCTCCAGCCCCCGGGTGTGAGTGAAGACCCCAACTTCAGCAAGAAAGCGCCCGTGCGAGGGGAGGGACCTGTGGGGAGGGGCCGCGGAGCCCACCTCCCACTAAGTGCAAGGCCCCCAGGATGTCAGCGACCTCTGACCCTGCACAGCTTTGCTGGGCCATTTCCTGTCAGCCACCCCACATCCAGCAGAGGGCGCCACCTGCTTAGTGGAAATTCTGCATCACAGAACCTGGGTGGCCTTGACAGTTCGCCTTCCTTTGCTGGGGCACAGAACACTCCGCGTGCTTTCGGTTTGGACAGACACTGGCACAGGAAGGGATTACAAGAACACTGCAACGCGGCCTGCAAGTCACGGGGTAAGGGGCACTTGGAGCTGAGCAGCACGCGGCACGTCGTCCTCACATCCGAGGCCTGAGCCCCCTGGCCCGACAGGCACCGCGGGGTCTGGGCCAGTTCCCAGAGCGCCGCCAGCGGCGACTTCCTGGCTGCTTCAGGGGCTCCACTGCCCCGCCGTAGTCCGGGGTGCGCCCCTGCCTGCCTGCCTGCCTGCCAGGGATTAGCTTTCCACGGGAGCCGGTGGGCGGTGAAGGCGGGCAGGGCCGCCGCCTCGCTCTCGGCGACGGACACGCACAGACCGAGATTCACCTACCTGTGGCGACAACGGCGTAGAAACCTCATTATTTTTCGAGCAGCTTGGTCCTGCTTTTTGGTTAGCAAACTGCTCCTGAAAAAGTCAGAAAGCTGTTGTCACAGGAGGGCGCTGGGAAGCCTGACGTGCGAAAGCCGGAGGCCGACTCCTGGTAACCAATGACTTACTTCCATGGTTCACGGGGCAAACCCGACAACACGGGCACCTGCGGCTGTCAGGGCACTGAGTCTGCGCGTCACTGGACGAGGACGGGGGGCTGGGCACTTCCCCTCACTTTCAGGGAGGCCATATAAAGACTGAAAGTAAGTCCTCTCTCAAAGCCCCGTCACAGCTCCTTACAAACTCACTCTGTCGAAAAAGACATCCGGCACCACACGGGCGTTCCTAGTGTAGAGGCTGACTCGCCTGAGTCTGATACTCTCTTTGGGCTGTTATTTTCTCCATTTTTAAAATTGTTAAAGAATATTTAATTTATTTGAGAAAGAGAGAGAGAAAATCTTCTCCACTCTGCCCCCTCCCCCATCCACTGGCTCACTGCCCAAATGCCAACAGCAGCCAGGACTGAGCCAGGCCAAAGCTGGGAGGTGAGAACTCCATCCGGGTCTCCCCCGTGGGTGGTGGAGACCCAAGTACTTGAGCCGTCGCCTCCCGCCTCCCAGGGTGAGCGCGCTGAGCAAGAAGCCGCGATGGACGGCGGAGGCAGGACCTGAACCCCGGCTCTCAGGCTCTCGGATGTGGGCCGCGCTGCATCAAACGCTCACCCCTAAAATCTTTCTACGTCAGCGTTCCCTCACTCTGCTGCAAGCTTTTATGACCCTCTCTAACCCTAGCTACTCTTGCAAGGTTTTCCATGTAGCAGCAACTCTGCATCTTAGACAACTGCCACTTAGACTTCTTAAACAGAGTAAGACCTTTCTGAGTGGAGATTCTGGCCCTCCCCCATTTCGAGGTAAGTTGAAATTAGGTGGTGACATCAAGATACCTGGCGCTAAGCACACAGAGACCGGCAGCGCAGGAGTTACCCATGGGACGTGACGGAGCTGCAGTGCACGGAGAAGACAGAGGCTGCCAGTGCCCCGCACAGGCCCCGCACAGGCCGTCTCCTGCCCCGGGACCCACCTGAGCTTCTGCTGGACGATCACGGCCGTCCGGCGGGCCTGCCGTCTCTTGCCGCACTTGCGGTAGCTCCGGTAGTACTTCTGGATGAGCACGGCGGCGCGGCGGCTCTGCTGGAACTTCTTCTGTTCGTAGTAACTGCGGAACTTGCTCTGGATGAGGATGGCCGCCTGGGTCATCTTCTTATAAAGTGCGTACTGCGGGGAGAACAGGCCAGGCCATGACAAGCGCAGCTGCAGCAGCTCGCCCGCCCCTGGGCCCGCTCCCCCCATGGCCTCTGCTTTGGTTCATCACGAGAGACAGAGCAGGAATCTCCTCACCTACCTTTCCAAACTGTGAAGGACTACTAGAAGGGTTGCCTTCAGATTAAACAAAAACTGCTTTATACATGCTTTTCCCTCAAAATAGTTCCCCTTCTTGGAAAGGAGTTTTAACCATAACAAACTTAGACTCCGATGAGTCTGAAAACATACTCAGGCAGTAAAATTTTCAGTATCTGCTCTGAGCCTGAGGTCTCCTATCCAGGTCTGACCCGTGTGTCCTTCCTTGTACCCCGGCCCTGCCCCCACACCGAGAGCTGCGCAGCCGTCAGCAGCTGACTTCCAACTGTCATCCGGGTGACAAGTCTCTGACTGAGTTACAAGGTCCCAAATACGAGGCTTATCATGAAACGCTGACACCTTTAAGCCAGTTTAACCTGTGAGAGATTAGCACTCGCGAGAGCTACGTGGCAGAGTGAGGAGACCCGGGGGCTGCTCGGGAGCAGGACGGAGCCACAGAGCTGGCTTCCTCCTCGCCGAGAGGCCCCAGGCAGCAGGGGCGCAGCAAAGCGCCCGTGACTCTGGGGACGGGAGTGACAACCACGGCAACTTCCTCTCTGCAGGAACACGCCCCTCGGAAAGTCCCTGTCTCCGCCTCCCTGCACCCTGGGATGTGTGAGGGGAATGAGGGCCCACGCCAGGATCTGCCCTCTCACCCACGGGCCTGACAGTCTTGTACAACAAGAACGCGTGGCCCAAGTGGGGCTTTTGTCACCCTCATCTGTGCACACGGCACACTCAGGCCCCCAGGGGCCACCGTGGAGCCCGCCGGGAAAAGGGGACGCCTGGTTGGCGGCCTCTGGGCTGCAGGCAACTGGCGTGGAAGGGTAGACGTGAGCCGAGAGGACGTCCTGAGACGATCCTGCCAGACCCCTCTCACTGATGACCACGTGCCCACCTCGGGACAGGGGCCCGCCCTGCTAGGGGCTGGCGATGTGTGCGGTTTGTGACTCGGGTGGGATGGCTTGTGAGAGGGCTTGGGTGTGTCATTACCTTCAAGGCTATCCATGTCAGCTTGGGGGAGAAACAGAAAATACAAGATTAATGTTAGATTGCTGCTTATAATGGAATAAAAAACCAGAACTAATAAAACTCCCATCCGAAAAAACACGAAACAAAGTGGCTACAGTCATGCCTTCCATCTTCCAAAACACTCCTCTGACAGCTGCTGTTACTTCCAAAAATAACGACTTCTTTGAAAGGAGGTTAAAGAAAACAACCCGAAGTCACGTTTTAGAACAAACACTGTGCTCATCACAGACTGGAAACCCTGACGCTGTGGCTGTCTGTGCTCAGGTTGCGCCTGCTCGCCAGACAGGAGCCAGTGCGGCCCCTGCCACAGGCCTACGGTATTGTGGTGTCAGCGTTTGCACAATAAACCTTCATTTTCTGGGATCGTGAACTCAACCGGCTACAAGCTGGAGACGCCTCTGCGCCGCCCCGGGCGTCATCCGAGAGAAACCGGAGAAAACAGAACCCCGGTCAGAAACGGAAGCGAGCCCTGGACTGTAACAGAACGTAACCCCGGGTTTCTGTGAGACTGATACACGGGCACTTCCAAAGCCTGCTGGGAAACTGTGGTCAAAGATGATGTGCGTCTCCCATGGGTTTCCTGAAGACCCCTGTGTACGTCTTGACACTTCTTATTCTTTAAATAAAAATTGAAAACCGACCTTAGTAGAGCACGGCCTACTAAGAGGTTCAGAAATATACTGACAAGACTGAATTTTATTGTCAAAACTCAGGTTTTTAATAGTTTACAGCTGCCTCGATGATTTAAAAAAGTCTAAATGTTTAGCGAATGCCTCTTCGCCTCGGCTTCTTCAGCTGAGGAGAAATATGTGGGAGAACTGTAGGGGTACACGAGGGGGTGTGCCCCGAGACCCGGTCCCCACCGGGGACCCCGCAGACGCCTGCCGGGTCCCTTTGCCCACTGCCAGTCTAGGGCCCCCACGTGTTGTCTGGGGAACAAACCCAGGGAAGATGACTTAGTGATTCTTGTGCCTCCTAGGGAGGGAAGGCAAAGGCAATTTAAGATGTTCCGAGCTCCTGATCCGCCAAGATTTTTACAATTCTTCCTTTTAAAGTGAGTAAGGAGCTGAAAGCAAAGTGGCCAGAGACGACATCACTCAGTAATCCGACGTCCATGGCAGGAGTGGCGTTTACCTTCTCCAGGCACCTACGGAACTTCCTGGAGCTCCCAAATTACCGCGGTTACATGCTCATGGGCGCACGGCTTCGCAACTCAAACACGAGCTGTCAGCCCAGACCAGCAGAGGGGGGCAGCTCCGGGAGGTGACAAGTGCTAAAAGGCCACAAGTTTGCACCATTATTCTCTTCTGGCATAGGTTTAAGTGCAGGTGGTTTTGTTATGTTTCACTTTGGTTTTCAATCGAGCCAATTCACAGGAAGTCTCTGTCATCAGGTGCCAGATATGGTGGCCCCTGGCCAAGCACCACGCCATGGCCCGGCGACTCCCAGGGCCGGGGCTCACCTGTTTGTATTTTCTGTAACAGCGCTGAATGACAGCTGCAGCCACCTCTTGCTGTTCCCGCAGCGGTCGGCCCTGAAAGCGTAAAGTGAGGGGCACAGATCAGCGAGGATTTCCTGTGAGAAATGTCAACTTTCTTAAAACTGAAAGAGAATCATCACCCAGGTAATTCAGCTTGCTCGGAAACGAGCCCTGCGTTTCCCACGCGCACGACGGTTAGCACACGCTGGGGCGAACGAGCCCGCAGAGTGGACCCCTCGACTACTCTTGCTTCTAAACGAAACCCCGACATCTGCAGGGGCAGGAGACCGCACAAACGCTCGTTTGCGAGGTAGCGCGGGTGCTGCACTGTCCCTCCACACGCCAGTGGTCTCTCCTGGTCCCCTTTCTGGCGGAGGGTCAGAGACCCCTTGGAGACTCCATGGGGGCATGGAGAAGGGAGCCCCCTCAGTCAGCTCCTGGGCCTCCGGCTGGAAACCTCTATCTAAGGTCAGTTTCCCACCACACCCACTGTCACTCCCACTCAGGCTGAGACGGCGACAACCGCCCGCTGCTTCTGCAAAGGAGAAATCATCTAATGCAACACGAAAGCTTCAAATGCAAGTTCTGTCAACTCAGAGGAAAACAAAACACAACGAAAGGCCCGGTCTAGGTTTCAGTTCCAACGACCGGGACTTCCGGCCAACGTCCCAGATCTCAAAGCTGTCACAACACCGAGAGTCCGTCCGTTCTCTTTTACCTTGTATTTCCGGAAAGCTGTCTGGACAAGCCTGGCAGCCTCATAGAGTTCTCTCTGCTCACGATCAGACAGAGTTAGCTGAGCAAACTCATTCTCTACCTTCTCGCTGGTCGACGCACTCAGGAATTCCGACCAGTCTGCCGCCGAGGGGAGGGGAGCTTTCTCCAAGGCTAGTTCACTGCCAGGGGAGCCGACAGGGCTCAAGCTGGTGTTAGAGGGCGGGGTTAGAGGCTCGCTATATGCACTTCTGCAAGGAGGAGAGAAAGCAGAGACGGCCTCGTGACTGAGCTGCACAACCCACTCCAGGGCAGCCAGCGAGAGGCGATCGTGACCGCCAGGAGCCGCCTCCACTCACGAGGGAGGCTGCCCAACACACCCAGCGCTGCCACTGTCCCACCCACGGGCAGGTTCGCACTCAGCACCTGCTGTGAGCTGAGGGCCGCACTCCGCAGGAGCAGCCCTGGGCCGCTCCCCCGCCCGGAGTGGTGGTGGTGGGGACACATGCTCTGCCACGGCAAGAAACGGGAGGAGGAGGTGAGGCCGTGCACCTCCAAGCGGCAGTGCGGCCTGCCCTAAAGCTTCCTCCTTCCCGGGAAGGGGAGGCCCCCTGTTACACAGCATTCAGCAAATACAGCTCTCCTCTCCCGCCCCCAGCTACATCTGGGAACTGAGCCTGGGGGGCAGCCCCCAGACCTGTACTGACCGGATATGGGCGGCACTGGGCAGGCGGTCGGCGTCAGCGAGGTAACTGGCCAGCCAGCTCATCGTGCTGCTAACGGCGGCAGGCTCCGTTCTTTCCAACACGGAAGGCTCCAGGGACACAAAAGTCTCCTGCTTGATTCGGTCGGGGGTGGCTTCGATAATGTGTTCCGCTAAGGTCATCATGTTCACCTGGAACCAGGGCACAGAACTCTCAGGTTAGCTGGGCGCCACCTCCACCCGCCCCTCAGAAAGACGAAAGACAAGTGCAGGCGGGCAAGCTCATGCCCCAGCCCAAAGAGCTCCAACATCCGTGAAGCTGTGTGACGATTTGCCCAGGTACGCGGAGACCCACAGACCAGATTATCTCCAATCACAGTTTGGCCAAAACCTTTCTTTTCCAGTCTTGCAGAGCTTCTGGCTCCAGCCCACTTCTACCCTCGCCAGGATCATCCAATGATGTGCCAGCTGGGTGGAGGCATCAGTGTGGTGCCTGTCACCCCTCCTCGCCCCACCCATGCTGCCTTGCAAGCCAGCCATTAAAAACACTTGTCTTGGATAATTTTCTAAATCTTCATCAAAGATCAATTATGTTTTGCATGGGAATAAGAAGAAAGTAGGGCCTTTACGGGGGCTGGCACTGGGCAGAGCAGGTACAGCCACTGCCTGCAGTGCCAGCATCCCATATGGGAGCCAGTGGGAGTCCCAGCTGTTCCACTTCTGATCCAGCTCCCTGCTAACGCGCCTGGGAAGGCAGAGGAGGACGGCCCAGGTGTTCGGGCCCTCGCCACCCATGTGGGAGACCTGGATGAAGCTCCTGGCCCAGCGCTGCCTGTTGTGCCT